TTTACAAATGCTTGGCGGGCCGCATAAACAAGTTTAAGGGGCCGCGCGTTGCTCATCCTTCCTTTAGACCATCATTACTGTAACCGTAGTATGCTTGAAACGAGAACGCAGTAATTGCACAGGTTTTTCACTACAGTGCATCGCAATTGTTGCAACGCGACGCACTCCGGAATGTCGGAGCGTTGTGAGCTAGGTCTCCCCATTGGTGGTTCGCGCGGCGCATCGGACCGAGTCATACCCCGCGCCCATTGTCTTTGGCCCGCCGACCGCATAAAAGGCCAGCGCGGTGTCCTGTTACACGAGTCCACAGGATGCAACAATGGAGAGTAGCGCTGTTGCACACGACTGTCGAACCGCGAACCGGTTTCCCGCCGTACCCTCGCGTACGGGTCTTGCGTTTTAGCGGAATTGCAACAGTAGCGAGTTTAGTCGATGGAACTATTTCCGTCTCTGTTGCACGGGGCTTACCTGATCGCACCGGTTTGGCGCTTTAACAGACCCACGTGGGGGGAGGGGGGGGTGCCTTTTGTTTTTTTTGCATTCCGTCGCGTGACGCGTCCGCGGGCGGACGTACGACCCACGAAATGCCTCATCACCCGAATGCGATGGTCCCAAATAGCATCAGTGGCCGGTGCACCGTTTCGTGAAAGATTCGGGGATGCTAAAGAGGCGGGAGGCGCCCTGGTGCGCGGGCCACCGAGTCCGCAGTCTCACCCCTCAGCACTGGAATGCCGCGTGCGATTGTACGTATTTAATTTGATGAATTTCTCCGTTTAACGCACGGCGGCGCGTATCTCTGTGGAATGGTGTCCTTCTTGTATTTTTCTTTTTGCGCTAGCATCCGCCCGCGTCGGAGCATTCCAGCCAACTGCCTAGAGAAGAAAAACAAATTTTTCAACTATACCAACTGGTATAGTTAATATTACTAGAAAACTTAGTATAGTAGGAAAATTTGTTTTTCTTTTCTGTACTCCATATGGGCTGTGGTGGCTAATGATAGAAATGTATCCCACGTGCTAAAGTCTTATTTCTCAATAACCTATTTTAGAAATATTTCATGTTATTTGTATTTTTTCCTATAACGTTAGAATTCGATCACTTGCTTAACGTTATTTACGTAGACTAATATATGTTCAAATATACGCGTAGATGACTTTGTTTATTCTGAAGCCTACGTAACGCACGAGTACGTAGACTACGCAGCCCAAAGGTAGTACACGATTTCGAGATAGCGCCGTTTCATTCAAACGTGTACGGTCGGCATAATCGTTTTTATCAGATACGATTTATTTTGCGTTGTAATATAGAAGCGACATTATTCATAGCCGCGGTATAGTTTACATAGATTGATGTATTCGTAATTAAGACGGAGATTAATGAAATTTAACGGAAAAAGAATAGATGTTAGTAAAACGATAATAATAAAGCCGTGATAGCTCATATTCCGGCCGCTCACTTTCAATTCAATATACTTGAGCAACCTGAGTTCGATCCCCGGTGCCCGCAACCATAAAATTGTTAATTTTAAGTGCTGAAATATCACTTCTAATTATCACGTGGGACCGCGTGTTGGCCTATTCCCTGATTACCCATTGCCTGTACAGAGGAGGCCTTTGCCCAGCAATGGGCAAAGGTCTATAGGCTGTCACTTTTACTTTGCTTTCAGGAATACGGCAAGGAAGACAAACAATCTTATTCTTTAAACTGCCCGTGTTTTTTGGCTCTATTTCGACCGGCTTATATTACGACTTAGATAATGTCTAAATAGAGTGTATTTTTATGTTGATCTGTTTTTTCAATTCTAGTTCATTCGGGGCTTGATTGACCAAATTCACTGTCCTCATTGGACAAATATCTGTCAGCCTTGACTGCTCAGTGAATTAAGAAAGAATAACATTGTCCATAATATTTGTGCAAGAAGACTTCAAATCGTGTGTACGTCGCTTTAGAACGCACACATTTGTCAACATACGCCATCGATTTATATATTGAAATGATCAGAATATTCTAGAATGTATCACAGGAAAGGCTAGCCATACACGGCTGTACGAATGACTTGCTCCTTTTTCAACCGACTCCAAATGAGGAGGACGTTTTTGTATGTTTGTTACCTCATAACTTTCGATTGGGTGAACCGTTTTTGATGATTCTTTATTTATTTGAAAGCTGGTGTTTCCCATGTGGTTCCATATAAATTTCATTGGTATTGGATCTTGGGCTCCGGAGATACTTAGACGACTCCGGAAAATCAATTATAAAATGAATACACAGCGAGATTAGAAGCCGATTTTGATTCTCGTTATAAAAAGAATTGTTTGAACTTGTGTTTCACTCTAACATACTCCGTTCGGTATGCTGAATAATGTCGACGAGAGGTTATAACGATTCATATTGTTGTCCTTGGAATGTCGCATCTGGTGTTACCAGACCGGCCATATAAATACTTATACCTAAGCGAGAACTTTAATTTTGTGCCTTATTCACAGCCTTCTGGTGTTTTACCATTGCATTTACTCTCCTTTCGCGTCACTAACTGCGGATACAACTAATACACGCTACAAACACTACTGCTTTATTTGACTGTGGATATGAGTAATAAATTATTTATTTTATTTATCTATTTGTTTATGTGCGTTGACTCGGTCTCTTTTCAATACTAACTCTTTTCTTCTTGTGATGAATTGTGTACGTACATGATACTTTTTTTACTTTAAAAACTTTTACTATAAAACACACACACAGGCAAGTTCTACATTACAATAGTTATCGATGGGAATACAAACTCTTTTGTAGACAAGTATGGAAATGACTCTTGCTCTGCACTTGCAACTCGCCTGACTGCTGCCGGTTTATCTTTGGACAGGTGTAATTTAGTGAACGGTGGTGTTTCTGACGTTCAATAAGAGCATAAAACGTGCGTATATTGATTAAAGAATTTACTGACTTTGATTTGACTCATCTTTGTTAACCTTTGAAATCAGAGAATAAAAAGAAACAAAATTTGTAACATCCTATACAGCTACAACTGATTGATTCATACATTCAGAGACTTTTTCATTTGTTGCCACAGCGTCGCGTTACAAGTCTCTCCTTCTAACAGTATGTTTTATCTCTTTTAAATTCATTCAACCAATTCATATGCTTTGTGACCTTTACAAATGAACTTTACGTTACAGTTTTATACGTAAGTTGTTCTAAAATTACTTGTTTTCGAAAATTTAATAACTCGGTGAAAATTGATGTTTAAAGAATGTAAATGTTTAATTCAATTTTAAAAAGTTATCCTCTCTATGTGTGTTCATGTATTGTCGCGGTTGTAACGACACGCTGTATAACTAACTCATCATCTTTTACACGCTAACTTTTGTTGAAATAATAAGTTAATTTCAACACTTTTTTTTAAACGAAAAGGAAGTAACATGTTGTTATCGATACCCACAACCTGTCCAGTTAAATCAGTGTCGCCAATTGTTGTTTCTCATGTTAATAAAACTTACGTTCTACATTAATATACTGTAATGTAATATAACTAGCTTTCAGTGCGTTATTTACAGCCACACTCTGAGACTTCAGTTAGCAATTAATTATTAATTATTGATAAATTCGTTCATTTGCGAATTCCCAGTTAGACGTTGTTTTGCATTCGTTTGCATTATGAGCGGTACAACTGAACGATGGCGTGTTGCTCTAAAACCACTTGATCCGATGCGACGTTGCGCCAAAGAGTTTTCCGCAATGGTGAAAACGGAACTATTGTTAAATATAATTAGACGTTTCTTCCGTTATTCTTTCGACACGAATCATTACTCAAATCCATTAACGGTTGGTTTCAATACTCTATGTATATATTATATAGACTATAGAGATACATTTGGTAATTAGCGATAGATATTTTGCATTAGCTCCATAATACTAAGTCAAAATTTTTATTTTCAGTAACCAAATCTATCTGTTGATTGAATATTGAAACCGGTAGTAACACAAGTCGCGGGTGGCGATTAGCTAAGATACAGATTGGAAATGTCACGAAGTGTCGGCCCAGAGCGCATGACTTGTGACGTAGGCATCGCTGACCAGTCACGGGCCCATGCCACATACGTTTCGCGTTGTTTATTGGTGACATATTGTCGTCATACGCTTACATTGTCAACTGTGTCGCGTTATTTAATCGTTATGACCCCTCTTGATTGGTCACGCGCGCGAGTAGTGTACTGTGATCCCGTGGTAACGAAATGTATAGTAGGACCATGATGTTTTATGGTACGGTCACGTAACAGTCTTCTCTGTTGCACGGAGGGGCAGGCCCGTTCGGGTAAGTACCTAAACTTCGGCGTTTCGTATGGTGAGTTAGATAGCCGAGGCCCACTTCATTAAAAGGTGGCAACGCATCTGAAATCCTTCGGGTGTCGCATATGTCAACATCAGGAGAACTGCCAGCATATTCGTCATCTTCCACCTTAAAAAATGGAATAGAACCTGGAACAAAGCAGCTGCACTCCTTTGCTTTACGTTTAGGCACGTGAACGTAGAGGCAAACCCATTCGCTTAAACGTGGGCAAGATGACAAGGAAAGATTGGAGACCTTATAAGTGTAGTCGTCCGAATAAAAGCGCACCAAGTGATTAGTATGTGATATCGCTACGCCCGTAGAATTTTCTTTAGAGCGTGTAATGTTTAACTCTCGATCATAGACAACTTTTAACAAACCACACACAACTAATGAACAAAGACGAAAACATTGATAATTGCCTCCTTTAACCCTTTCCCACCCATTATCAACTTATCGAATTTCTCTCGGCGCTAAGCCGTACGGTGGCGTTAGTTTTAAGAACTGGCCTCTGTAACTGAACCACTCCGATTACTGAGCACCCGCGCCGTCTTCCCAAGAAGCCATGCTCGAGGCTAGTTACGCGCGGGGAAATCCCGTGAGGGGCGTGACATGACAGTGCGCCCCCCTCAGAGACGCCGACGGGTACTTACAGCAGTCGCTAATTCCGCAGGCAATGGTGGGGAGACCACATGGTGTTTCAGTCAGGTCAAGGGCACCTTGGAGGACGACGTGACCGAGGCCGATCTGATATCGTGCGTCGAGTTCAACCACGACGGCGAGCTTCTCGCGACCGGCGACAAGGGCGGCAGGGTTGTCATATTTCAGGTGAGCAAAAGATGTTTGTAGTACATTCTATGTTAAAACTTTTCAAATGTAACACACCCTATCATTGAGGCGGTAGAACTAGTACCGTTGCGTTGCTGCAGGGATGGGCGGGCTCGATCGAGTGTCAGGATTCCACGGAAGACGGTTACAGTAAAGTAAAAAGTAAAGTAACAGCCTATATAAACCGCTGGGCAAAGACCACCTCTGCATCTATATTGTACATGTTGGGGAGGGGGGGGGGGGGGGGGGGGGCGATAATACCATCGAGTTGATAGCTTGCTTGTGATTATCACCTCTCATGATAAAAGTAGAGAAAATAATTTACAACCAATGGGGTTGATTCGATCCATTTCAGATGTATTTTTTACCACCTAGTAGCACCTATTAAGAGGAGAAGACCGGCGTTAATTAGAAGTAATATGCTTCTGTATTTCGTCTGGTGAGTCAGGAAGCCGGGGGCCCACTTCATTAAAAGGTGGCAACGCATTTGCAATCCTACGGGTGTTGCAAATGTCCATGGGTGGCAGTTATCACTTACCATCATGTGAACCGCAAGCTCGCTTGCCACCTTAGCACATAAATAAAAAACCTAAACTTGTCACCAGATTTTGACGATCTGTCAATCAACTGTTATTATTGTCCTGGTGACTTAGGCTACATTTTACACAAACAAACTACTACATTATTTTTGTGATTTGACGATCGCTTGTTACGCATAATTTATTTATGCCATGTCGAGTTAAGGTTATGTAATTTTTCAGTCCTTTCCAATTCATCTTAATTTTTTATTTGGTTAACAGTTTTCGAAACTCTTGGGTTTTTATATCTATTGAAATAAACTTGTTCCTTCTTGTTGTTTAACAATTATTTAATATAATATTATCGGCACGAACAAGCAAGTCTAACACTAATCGTAATTTACATCACATTCCGCTGTAAGCTGTTTGCTTTAATCCGTTTAATCATGTATGTAAACGATTAGCCTAGTGAATACGCTATGCACGTAAACACAGGATAAAACAGAGCCAGCTGGTTCTGTCCATTTCTCATCAAGTATCATTAGGACCACAACATATTCAATATATCTTGCTAATGTGAAATGTACACTTACGCCCAGGAATCATATAAACAGATACTCGTCAATGCAAACAGGCAGTGTTGTTGTTAGTGGTGGTTGGTATAATATCTACTTCTTTTTATGTTAAAAGTTAGCAAGTGAGCAGGCGGTGCAAACAATTAACGTGTCCCCTCGGCAATTTACAACACCTTGAATTGCAGATGCTACCAAACTGCCTTGCCTTATTAACTATGCGTGGCTCTACCAGAGTTAAAGCAATACTGTTTGTGACGGATCAAGGGTTTCTCTAACGAATGCAGATTCGAAATTAAATACGCCAATGCAATAATTTTTTATATATCTGTACAGAGGACGAGACGGTCTGAGGTTTATGAAATCAAAATAATGGTTATTAGATTAATTTAGCGTCTGTCAACTGCACCCATCAAAATTTTGTATATAAATGCTTTCAATTAAATAAGGATAGATTAGAGTTTGGTTTTAAACTCTTTGTAGGTTTTTTTTACAATTGGCACTTATTCACGTTTCCAGAGGGACCCAGCATCGAAGCAATGCGTACCAAAGAAGGGCGAGTACAACGTATACTCGACCTTCCAATCCCACGAGCCCGAGTTCGACTACTTGAAGTCGCTCGAGATAGAGGAGAAGATCAACAAGATACGGTGGCTGAAGAGGAAGAACCAGGCCCACTTCCTCCTGTCCACCAATGACAAGACGATCAAGCTATGGAAGGTACGTTCGTCCGTTGATTCGGCTTCATCAATGTGTATTGAAGTCTTTTCACCGTGGTAGAGACAGTGGCTATTCCTGCTGCATAAATGAAAAGAGTAAATTTTTGAAAAGACCATTGTAAAGTAGAAGAATTACAACTTTCTCATAAAAAACGACTACTTTACGCTTTTAGTGAGAGCAAGTGGTACTACTGTATTTGTATTGAAAGTGTTGGGTAGTAATTCACATATGGCCACTGTGACCTAGAACATCTATTGCAGTATTTTCTTCCAAAACATTGCCCCTTTACTGTAGGATAACATTATCCCATATTGTAGTATTCTCTTGGGCAAACACCCAAATCCGAAACGATCATCCGTGGGCCACACAATTAGTTGTCTCGTGTTCGATTCGAATCTACGAACTCCCGGCACCGAAGCCGATACCTCGGCAACTGCTAAATAAATAAAAATAAAATTCATCAACTGTTTGCGCGCGCTGCACGGTTACAGGTGTCGGAGCGGGACAAGCGCGTGACCGGCTACAACACGCGCGAGGAGGGCGGCCGGCCGAGGCATCCGTCGCGCGTGACGCAGCTGCGCGTGCCCACCGTGCGCCCCGCCGAGCTGATGGTCGAGGCCTCGCCCAGGTGCGCCCACTGAACGCGACTGTACACGACTGTACACCTGCATATCGTACATACAAACATGTGCAGGAGTCGTAAACGTTTCTGTACGCCTGTTGAACACTTGAGTACGCGACTGTACATCCGGTGACCATATTATTTTGTTAATGTAAAAATTTGTACCACAATGAATTTGAATATAAAAAATATGTATAGAATGCCTGCATGGCTAAAATCCATTGTACTTGTGTGCTGTTTGCACTACGGTGTCATGGTAGTTGAAATAAAAAAATAAATTTCAAAATAGTCATTGCACTCATGATTTGCATAATTGTGTAACCATTTATAATATAAAAAAATAATCAATATTTCTTTCATATATTATATTTTATTATATTTTTAAGCACAAAATATAATAATTCAATTTATTTTCCTTAACACTTTTATCCTGTATTTAATTAATATAAATAACAGAACTTGTTTGATTTAACATTAGGTTGGTTCTTTCATGTTCTAAGTCATGCTCAAGTTGTTAGTCACCAACTCTAATTATTAACAGTACAATAATCTTTAAGGAAATATTTTGACGATGCTGTGAACTGCAAATATTTTTTGGAAATATCTCATTACAACTTAAATCTGTATGTTTTTGTTTGCTATGACACCAGTGATCTAGGATTATAATAAAAATCTATCAGTCTGAGATAATTTGTGATGTTAGCTGATGTTTAGGTGTATAGATGTAATAAGTTCCAATATGTATGTACAAAATAGAGATGATTTCGGTATTTCGTTTATAGATTGTTTACGTACAAATAAGTTATTGATAAAATTATAATACGGAAATTGTCAATTCCTTTATTCATGACTACATGCGTCGAGTAATCTTAAAGTGAGTACAGTGACATGATGACGGAATGAGTAAAAAAATCCTAAATGTAGAATCTGTACATTCGCAGGCGGATCTTCGCGAACGCGCACACATACCACATAAACTCGATCTCGCTGAATTCGGACCAGGAGACCTACCTCTCCGCCGACGACCTTCGGATCAACCTATGGCATCTCGAGATCACCGACCAGAGCTTCAACATCGTCGACATAAAGCCCGCCAACATGGAGGAACTCACCGAGGTGCGTATGCCAGTAGCCAGAGACGAAGGAACAAACATAACGCATGCTATTGGAATACTTTCTCTACCGTCATCTTCCTCCCGCCTTTATCTACCTAGGCTCGATCGGCATATGTGAATCAAGTTGTAAGTGGATTTGGCTAGGTTTACCCACCGCCTGAATGATGGTCAAATCTTGAGAACAAACTCCCAGATCTGGTACAAATATCTATGGATTACAAATCCTTTTCCCATGTGGGAATTGAGCCCAAAATCCCTGGGGTGGCAGCCAAAGGATTTATTTATAACTTAAGATCAATATCTGTCAATTCTGATAAAGCCATTATAAATATTTAATATTGAGAACATATCCAATCAATTTAGAATGCAAAAATATAAATAATTCTGTCTTAAACTGGGCTTTTCTTAGATTGTGGTAGTTTGCAGTACAAGCCTATTCATGGTAACCTAAGACTGTTGCAAAACTTTTAGATTTTTAGATTCCGCACCTGGATATGGACCTTAAAGTTTCTTTATGCACCCACAAAATAAACAACTGATCAGTATCATTGCATAGATACTCAGATGTCAGTACAGATTACACAAGTTAAAAGATAAACTTAGTTTAACTTGTATTTAGACTATACTAGATATGACAATCATATGAATATTTTAATTAATCACTTTGCAGGTTATAACCGCAGCAGAGTTCCACCCGACTGAATGCAATCTCTTTGTATATTCTAGTAGTAAGGGTGAGTATGCACTTGACTCAGTATTTTATTTACAATATTTTATTGATAAAGAAATACATAAATACATACAATTATTAATAAAATTATATGTAAATAAATATAATATTGCAATACATACATATACTTCTTCTTCGTCGTTTCTTAGAGTTTCTCCTGTTTCATATACACAAATATGATGTTTTACAGGATGTAATAAATAACATATCAATAAAACGAAGTGCGAGTTGGGCTCGCGCACGTAGGGTTCCGTACCGTAATCTATCAAAACGGATCGACCATAATCTATAAAAACGGATCGACGATATACGAACGGATAAATCTTGTCTGTTGTATGGGAGCCACACAACAGGCCACATATTTTTTTATTCTGTTTTTTAGTATTTGTTGTTATAGTGGCAACAGAAATATATCATCTGTGAAAATTTCATCTGTCTGACTATAACGGTTCACGAGATACAGCCTTGTGACAGACGGACAGACAGACAGACAGCAAAGTCTTGTAATGGAGTCCCGTTTTACCCTTTGGGTAAAGAACCCTAAAAATGAGAAACTATATTTGAGTTGATTTGAATCTGCTAACTTATCCATTCCTTATTGATAAAAAAATGTGCTTGATGGTACCAGTCAACCATCCTTGTATTGGACGATACTGTTCGTGTTCAGGTACAATAAGGCTGTGCGACATGCGCGCCGCGGCGCTATGCGACCGGCACGCCAAGCTGTTCGAGGAGCCCGAGGACCCCCACGCGCGCTCCTTCTTCTCCGAGATCATATCATCGATCAGCGACGTCAAGCTGAGCAACTCTGGCAGGTGGGTGCACGTTTTTTTATGTGAAAAGTTGCCAAACAAGCAGGTGGTTCACCTGATGTTAAGTGAATAGCGGTATTCACGCCCATGGACATCAGCTACACCCGAGGGTTGCAGATGCGTTGACATTGATGCCTTTTGAAAATTGGGCTACATATTTTATAGTTCCATATTGTGTGGAAGGGGATAAGACCCGATGGCAACTTCGTTTATGTAAGAAGATGGATCTTGAGCTGGCAACTCACCTGATGTTAAGCGATAACCGCCGCTTATGGACTTCTACAACATCCGATGGCTTGCAGATGCATTGACAGCCTTTAAAAAAACCTTGTGAGACTAAACGCCAAAGTATAACATTTCCACTTCACGCCGGTCTTATGTGAGGTTGTGGTACTTCCCGAACGGACCTGCACATTCGTGCAACGGCGTAGATTGTTGCGTCACTACATACCCCTGCGACCTAGATCTATTGTAGTATTCCCTTTGAAAATATTTACTGTAGGATGACATTATCCTATGTTGTAATGACATTTTATGTACATAAATTTGACATTGACAAATATTCGGCTCCAAAACAATTATCTGTGAATCACACAAATCGTTGTCTCGTGTAGATCGAACCCACGACCCCCGTCCCTTGAAGTTGGTATATTATTACTGCGATGTAACCAAGCCTATAGCTTTGGCTGCAGTTGTTTCTGTAGCAGGTTTTGGTGTCTCATAACATACAAATAACACCACATATTCAGATTTTGGACCAGAAGCTCTCCTCTGGAAAAGCATTGTGACACAATTAAAATCTTCGTTATGGGCCTTGAAATCACATTGGTGTTGTGATCTCTCCATCAAACGAATTGCCTTCTCGCTACCTTTTTAAACAATATCTACAAACCCTTATAACTGTATATCCTTTTGGAGTCTTTCTCTTAGTGATGATATATTATTTTTTGAATTAAAAAGGGGCAATTTTTCATGTCATTCAACTGATGCAAATATATAAATTATTATGTTATTATCACAAATATTTTTCTTATTTCAGATATATGATGTCTAGAGATTATTTAGGTTTAAAAGTATGGGATCTTAGAATGGAAACAAAACCTGTAGAAACATATCCAGTGAGTATAAATAAACTTTGATACAATATGCTATAGTTTAGTAGAAATGATGTATAGTTTTTAAAGTTCAATTTAATATTTACCAAAACTGAAATAAATCTTATATTTAAGATTTATTTCAGTTTTGGTTCATTAATGAGAGAAGTCATAAAAGTCTGTTAAATATCTTTTAACTAAACAATATAATTTTTAAATTGAACTTGAGCATTTATATAAATAATTGTTGTATGCAGGTGCATGAGTATCTACGCTCGAAGTTGTGTTCTCTGTATGAAAATGATTGCATATTCGATAAGTTTGAATGCTGCTGGAGCGGTGATGACCAGAGATTGATGACCGGCTCTTACAACGGATTCTTCAGGTATGCAGTGCACACGTTTCATTATCATTCAAATTGTAGCACCTGTTAAGATTTCTAACAACTATGCTTTTTATTATTTTTATATGTATTTTGATTGAGTAAACATTGTTAATAAGTGTCATTAGTGTAGATGCTACTGTCACACTATTTATTTAATTAGAAACAAACTTATTAAAGAAACGAAGTGTGAACCTTGCACATACTCTTAACATTTAATTATGTGTCGTCATTCTGCTGCCTAATGTTAATGGTTTTGGTGGCTAGATTTTGCTTCTTATTTTATACCTGTTTGTACTTCTTTCCTTAACCTTCCTTGTGAGCAAACACCTAGATCTGGAATAATCAATATAATATGGCGAGCTTGACGACCCGAATGGCGTAGTGGGTAGTGTACCCGCCTCCTGCACCAGAGGGGTTCGATCCCCACTACTGGAAAAATATTGTGTGATGAAAATAGTGTTTTTCTAGACTCTGGGTGTCTATATAATAGGTATTTATTTACAAAAGAAAAGTATGTTTAAGTATGTTTATCAGTTTTCTAGCACCCATAGTACAAGCTTTGCTTAGTTTGGGACTAGAGAATGTTGTGTAAAAATGTGTCCTTGAATATTTATTTATTTATTTAATATCACTATACATAATAACATAATATGTCAGTCACAAAAATACGATATAGATGATACAAGTTCTATTTGTAACAATTAGTCATTGTAACAAAGAGACATATGGGTAGTGAACCTGCCTCCGATCAACATTACCTTTTCATTCTTTTTTCAGTGTTTGGGTCTTTGTATATGTATTTATTTACAAAAGAAAAGTATCTTTAAGTATGTTTGTGATTTATCTAGTTCCCATCGTAACGTTGTGCAAAAATGTGTCCACAAAAAAAAAAAAGTGCGCCTTGGCGGTTAAGAGTTTCAGCAGACAGGCAAATACGCTCGCCCCTCTCATACCTTCTCTAGTAAAAGCAACGTGACGTCCTAATTGCAGGATATTCGAGCGGGGCGGTGCGGGGGCGGGGGGCGCCGGTGGCGGGGGGGCGGGTGCGGGGGGAGCGGCGGGCGCGCGGCGCGGCGAGCTCACTCTGGAGGCGTCGCGCGAGGCGGCCGCACGCCCCAGGCAGCCGCTGCGGGCGCGCCGCGTCGCCGCCACCGCCAAGAGGAAGAAGGTAGCCCTCGCTCACTACGATGACCCGACTGGCGTGAGGTGCACTGACCCATGCCTCTTGCGCCTTGGAGGCCCCCGCGCACTATGATACCCGACTGGCGTGGAGCGTAGTGACCCCTGCCTCTTGCGCCGGAGGCTGTGGGTTCGATCCCCGCCAATGGGGAAATATTGTGTGATGAACATCTCGTTCATGTCTGGGTGTTTAAATATGTAAAACATGTATTTATTTACAAAAGCAAAAGTATGTTTACCAGTTATCTAGTACCCATAGTTCAAGCGTTGCTTAGTCTGGGACTGGAGAACGTTGGGTAAAAAATGTGTCCGAAATTTACTATGCAAATCGGCGCTACTAACGCGGCCACAAATCAACCTGCATATAGAGGATAACTTTTTAAAAATTGTATTACTTTAATTAAACATCAATGTTTAAGGAGTTGGTAGATTTTCTAAAACTTAATAGTTTCAGAACACCCTCACGTATAAAACTGTAACGTAAATTTTAAAGTTTTTTATAGTGCTAATCTCTGCACTTATGATTGAACATTAAAACATGTAGAAAAAGTACGAAAAGATTGTCGCCGCTGTGGGTTGTTAACTACCCGTTCAGCTAAGTGGCTAGAGCGTCAGGCCGCGAATGCTGAAGACTTTGGTTCGATTCCCACAGCGGCGACAATCTTTTCGTACTTTTTCTCCATGTTTTACTGTAACGTAAAGTTCATTTTGTACAGGTCACAAAGCGTATTGGTTGGATGAATTTAAAAGAGATAAAACATACTGTTAGTAGGAGAAGAGACTTGTAATGCGACATTGTGGCAACAAAAGAAAAAGTCTTTGAATGTATGGATCACTCAGTTGTAGTTGTATAGGTTGTTACAAATTTTCTTACCATTTTAACTGTCCCCTCGCGTAATGAGCTCTTAAAAAGCCTGACGAAATATACATTTCTCTTTATTGTAAGGTATAAAATATCTGCCTATTTGCACTATGCAAACAACAGGTCTGGTATGATCAGAAAATCTGCATTATCAAAAGGGTGGGCTCTGCTTACCTCTTTTATCTGACAATTGCAAAAGTATAAATAACTTTTATGCTGATTGTATGCTAATATTGTTTTGTAAATATGCGATTGAAAAAGGACAATCATAAAATTATAAACAAGTCTGTGCAATCTTCCAATCTGAACTCTGCGAAGATTATTGTTCAAATGAACACACTTGATAAACCTAATCAGTGAATCTATATACGTTTTATACACATGTACAGCGTGTCTTTACCACCGCGACAATAAATGCACACACGTCGAACGCTACTAGCCAATAATCATAAAAAAATATTAACGTTAAGAAACACCCATAATTAAAAAATAAAATTTTTCTAATAAACTAATTTAGTAAAAAAGAAACAAAATTTGTAACATCCTATACAACTACATCAGACTGATTCATACATTCAGAGACGTTTTCATTCGTTGCCACAGCGCCGCATTACTAGCCTCTCCTTCTACCAGTATGTTTTGTCTCTTTTAAATTCATTCAACCCATTCATATGCTTTGTGACCTTTACAAATGAACTTTACATTAAAGTTTTATATGTAAGGGTGTTCTAAAATTCTTTGTTTTGGAAAATTTGATAACTTGTTAAATATTGATGTTTAAAGAATGTAAATCTTTAATACCATTTTAAAAAGTTATCCTCTATATGTGTGTTCATTTATTGTCGCGATGGTAACGACACGCTGTATATCATGTTGGAAGTACTGTGTCTTAAAATTATAAAATGTGCGTACTTTCTTAGTGAAAATAACAAGTTTTGAATAATTTTTATTCTCTTAAACTGCGACGGTAAACACACTGTATATATATATATATACAAGAATTTCTCGTTTAATGGATTTTGGAAGTTCTTGGAGTCAGAACAAGCCTACAAAATGAATTGAGAAATGTTTGTTGACTTTGATTTATCTAATAACAACAATCCTTTACCCGTTTACAGGACGAGATAAGTGTGGACTGCCTGGACTTCAACAAGAAGATACTGCACACCGCTTGGCATCCGCACGAGAGCATAATCGCCGTGGCAGCAACCAACAACCTGTTCATATTCCAGGACAAGTTCTAGCGGAGGACTCGTCACACCGGCCTCAGGTATGGGGGCGACGCAACTAAAAGAATATTGAAGCATAGCAAACTTTTTTGTACTAGCCAACGCATGGAACAATGCTTGCAAACTGGCCTGATACACCGCTCAGCTGATATGGGACAGATTATCTGTATATGTATTCCTAATCGCAAATTTATTAACGCATATCATCGTCCATTTTAATATATAACGTCCGGATTCTTCAAATGACGTGTAAGTTTCGTGAAAATGTTCTGAGATAGATACGGCCATGGGGCGATATATGGATATATTTGCTCTCTTGAACTGTATGTATAGAGATTGTCCACCTCTCTAAATCTTCTGTCTCATCTACTTTTCGAAGCACAAATATTGGACAATCAATGACACGAACAAAATTCTACCTTGTTAGATTTTAAATAAAATACCCTATACAAACATTACATTGGGTGATATTTAGAAAAGTATTAAAACAATCCATCCATATCTCCCGTAGAAACAAAGAGCTTTAGGAAATTGCCCAGCGATTTTGCTTCAATTAATCCTCATTTTAATGCAGAGTTAGAAATATTTTATAAAATTGTATGAATTTGTACTGCAAATCAAATAATTTAATGCTTGACACTAAAGCCTCTGGGTACTGATAAAAAGGTCGTCAGTTAAGACAGTTAAGTGTTTTATACTGTTATAATGTTGTTAATTTTTTCATTTTGAGAGATAGAGAAAAATGCGAGATAATTAACTCGCACAATCTCAAAGTACAATCCCAAAATATTTTTAAAGGAAGCTAGCTGCTTTATACAAATGCTGTCAATTATACCTGATGGATCTATTTGATATTAAAAAACAAAATACAAAATAAATGGACAATGTATCACTGTAAATTATATAAGGGCCATTTATCTCTAAAGCAACAAAGAAAACATAACCAAGACGTCCCACCATGTAATTGTGTTATCAAGTAATTGTTAACTTTAAAAATCGTGTTGGAAGACTTAAATTCTATTAGTTGTCATAAGAGAGATAAATTATTACAAAAATGTCTTGAACAAAAAGTCACCAATGTCATGTGAACATAGCATTCTTTTACAATATTACATTTATTCCAAATCATGTTTGTATTGACAAAATATTATTGTGTAACAGGGCTCAATTTTGGAATCATTCACTAATATTTATACACATAAAATCAAGTATAAGTTTCTTATATTTTTTCGAGCAAATGGTTTTTCTTATACATTCTACTGACAAATTGAATGCCACTAAATAGTAGTTGTATATAAAACTGTCAAAAAATTCCTCCATGCATAGACAAAGCAAGTCCTCTTTACCTCGGGCTGGTTATTACTGAAAGGATGTTATTTACCTTTGGTAGCTATCCATAATTCTAATGCTGGGATAATATAAAAGCTTAGTAATATGAATACAAAAAATAAAAATGTTTAGTTTGGAAATCTGTCAAAAGAATTATCACATCAGAATTTGTGTTATGATTGTACTACTTTGAAGCCAAATATTGTACTTGACCGATGAAATGGTGATCTTTGGTTGCTGAAAAGTAAAAAAAAAACCGCAAAACTCACAAAAAAGTAACTATATTTCCATTTTTTTATTGAATCATTTAAAAATTTATATCTATGTATTATTGATAGCTACCATAGAAGTATTGTTATATATGTATTAATATGTAATTAGTGTCGCGTTGTATGGGCGCTTGTACATATCTATCACTTGCTTGTACACATCATCCCACTTTTGAGTGTATTGAATTCATTTCCCTTGTGAATTTTGTTTCGTCACAAACATTGAATATGATTAAAGGAGATGCTATGCTTGACCAAACTGTTATTATTATAAAGTTGTAATATAAAGATAAGTATAAAAATGACCGTCGATGAAATACATAAACTTTACTCAATAAGCGCACTAATTTCAAAATAGTCATATATCTATACGGGCCGTGCATAGCTTTGGTACGCCTGAGTGAAGTTGCCTTGTACTGGTGAGTGCAAAAATTGCTACTTAAATCGGCCAATAAAGTAACACCTAAAAAATTTTGTTCAAGAAAATCGGATGGTGGTAGCGTTGTTCGCGGCTGTACAAAGACATGTAACGGGAGAGAGAGGGAGACAGAAAGCGATTTCTACCGCGACGCGAAGTAGAAGGCCAACTCCGGTTTGTGTATACAGCGTGTCGTTACCACCGCGACAATAAATGAACACACATATAGAGGATATCTTATTAAAATTGTATTAAACATTTACATTCTTTAAACATCAATATTAACCCAGTTATTAAATTTTCCAAAACAAACAATTTTAGAACACCCTTACGTATAAAATTGTAACGTTAAAAGTTCATTTGTAAAGGTCACAAAGCATATGAATGGGTTGAATGAATTTAAAAGAGATAAAACATACTGTTAGAAGGAGAAGCTTGTAATGCGACGCTGTGGCGCGAAATGTGCGATGATACAAATTTTATTTTTTACTTAATTAGTTTGTTTGAAAAATATTTTTTTTTAATTATGGATTTTGTTTAACGTTAATATTTCTTTATGATTATTGGCAAGTAGCGTTAGAATGTTCATTTATTGTCGCGATGGTAACGACACGCTGTGTATGAACTGTGAATTGGGGCTAATTTCACGAGGCGCATTGAAGTTTTTCGCGGGCTTTTCTAAGTTTTAGTTTTAGTTTTTTAAATTAAATTCTAGACATAAATAATATTGACAAAATAATCACAATGTCCATTCCTAAATCACTATTTTACTCATTAAATATTTTTTTATTAAGATTATTTTCATGAATTGTTTCATATGACAGCTTAATTCTTTTTCTGTTTTAATCCGGCGTCAAACATAGTTTTTAAAATAAATTTTATCAACGGCCGGTGCGCGAAAATATTTCAATTAAAGAAAATATTTAAATAAAAAAAAATAATATTTTTCTTTACATATTTAAAATGATTAATATTTAATAAATTCACTTGAAATTAATTAATTACATTCATTTTAACTTATCTCAGAAAGTGCGTGATTTATGGGCAACTCATTTATTTTACGCGAGATCATTCATAACTAACACGTACATAAGTTCGTTTCAAAAGTATACGAAGCATTTATGAATGACTACCGCATTGTCAACAAGTTCTGTTTTTAGGGAATTTTTTTGAAAAAAAAAAAATGTTTGTTTTTATTTCAATAAACGATTATACTACCGAGTCTGAACCTCCTGTGAGAATTTGGGCACCATAGAAAAGCCACCCTGTATATACACTTATGTAATATAGATGACATAGTTCTTTCAGTTTAATTTCGCTCCGACAACTCGACGCAAACGCTAGCTAGGACCCAAACCCCGTTAAATCTCTGATTAGAAATATACGCTTTTCATACTTAGGTCACTAAGCGAATCGGTAAGCTAATTTAGTATTTATTGTTGAACGAATAATGTAATATCGTGTAGGGGAAGGGTGTATAGCTTAAACACGCGGAAACTAGTTAGGTTATTATCAAATGATATCGTAATTGTTTATATGTAAGTAACGTTGAGGTAGTATTAAGTTTGTTTTTAATTTTTTCATTATTATTAAAACTGTGTTGGATTCAATTTGGATGGGAACACGACTAAGTTTCAGTGTAAAATATCAGATTTTTCACTGAGAAGTGCATACATAGCTTGGCCAAGTCGTCACATTTCGTATCGTCAAGAACGAAATGACTTAAAAATGGTTAGAGTAAAAGTCTTCATTCGTCAACAAACTAAAACTTACACCATGTTGAGGTTCTGATTCGAAATTCGAGCTCATTTTATTATGAAGAAAAATATTTAACAAACAAAGAAATGTAATCATATTTGTTTCATGAAAAATGTGCAAGCGTTTGGGAAGTTTTATGTGCATCGTTTTATAAATGTCATTTCAGTGATCCCATTTGAATTGGATCCAGTTTATTTCGTAAATGTATGAGTTAAATCATTTTATGACGCGATCATTTTACGCCGCTTATTATTATAGACAATTCGTATATTATATGATTGCGTTAAAAATCCACTGTTATGTAAGTGGTCGTTTCACACAGTTTAAGAAATTATTATTGTTTCACAAGCGATTTATTTTGACGGCGTGCAGGCTAACAGCTTTGAATAAAACTAGTTTTAAAAAAAAAAATAATTTTGAGTAATTTATTCTTTGAGTTTCAGTGTTACAGTTTAAATTTAATAATCCTGGCACTATGTTAATGCCTGTATAATACATAAAAATCATTAATTATGATTCTATTTAAATTCCACGATTCGATTTAAAATCCGTGTAATCCGCTCGAATGGATCCATCCATTTAGATTTTTTTTTTTACTTGTTGCAGGTAATATTAGTGCCCCCCGATCATACATACATACATTCGGCTGTGTGAAGCGACTTAAGGTTGTATACGTAACTGATGAAACGCCGCCGGATTTCATTTCCAGGCCTGTGCCTTACAATGTATGTAGTAGTGTTTTTTTGTTATAGTCTATTTATTATTATGTATTATGTACCATGTTTTTTTTTAAACCGGAATAAATGATTGTGATCGTTTCTTCCTCGTGGTTCGCGAATGTTCTTTTTTTAATGTTGACGCGAAGCGTCGCTGTCGTCCCGAGCTCGCGCCTTCAAACCCGTGCCGGTGTCAGTTGACAGTTGACAAGTTGGCAACACTGTTCGCTTCTTTTTTCTTCTTTTTATTCCCGCGAAAATATTGACAGTTGGCGCTTATATTCTCAACGTTGGTTGCAATGACTATTATTACGCACACGGAATGTTGCTGATATCGCGTTAACGTGACAATATTCCGCTGATGGTCAAGTGTCGTTTATGTTCGAGTTTTTAGCAGTTTGTTTAGTTGCATTTCTCTTAATAATATCGAAAGTTTTAAAAATTTGAATATCGAAAGATTCCAAACTCACCGATGCCGGTTTAAAGTCGCCACGGGACGCAGCGAAACAAATAGCAACGTAGATTATAGTTTTATTCGTTAATTTTAACACGTATGGTTTAAGCTTTATGTCGGGTGTCTAACGGAGCTGTCTTGTGTGTAAGGACGATGCGGTCGACTGTACTTTGCCGCTTGATATCTAACAAGGAATGTCATAATAAAGAATGTCGCGTTACAAAATATGCATAAGGTCTTTCTTTCCACTATAGTTGGGATTCATTGGGCATACAATACTTACGGCAACTGTATTAAATTCACTTGTTCATTTGTGATTTTAGTTTTCCATGTATTATTATTACGGCTTAGTGTCTAATTAATAAAAAATTGAAAAAAAAAGTGTAAATATAGTGAACGATCGGAGGCCTGAACAATATAAATATAGGATATTTTGTCACAACACATTAATTGTCAATGTACAGTTTATATACATATATATTTGTACTTTAATTGTGTAAAGCTTGGTACGGTGAAATTATGTTTGCTGGATGATATTTGAAATGATTTTCTTTTGTAGTCACGTTTTGTTGAGTTTTGTATAAACATTATGTAGACCGTTTTGCCGCTAGACGAGTATCGACGTCCAATAAATCGTTCGCAAAGTTTAAATCTTTCTGTAATTTATACACTGATTTTTTGTTAATAGGCTCTATCCAATTAGTTTGAATAATTTGAGCGTGATAGACAACAATAAATCTGTAGAAATGTTTTTTTCTGATGTTGAGCGATTTGTATAGGATGTGTTAAGTTTTAGTTTTTTTTATCTTTTTTTTCTCCTTTCGTACTTTGTAAGGGGCCCAGTCAATTCCCCGCGCGTTTGCAGTAGTTTAAGCGTATACTGAACCAGACAACGCTGTCCGCTATTTTTACTATTGGCCGATAGGCGGTATGTTAGTGATAAATGTGTGATAATTAAATATTATTATCGGAGGCGCCTTCGCGAGCTGACTTTCAGACTGCTTCGGAAGCGGAAATTTGATTTGTTTCATATTAATATCATTTCGGAATTGACTAAGTCCCACGCCTCGTTTCGATGTAAAGCAAATGGAGGTAACAGTGCGAGCGCTGCGGTGTGGAAGCGATGACGATGCGCGCGTGTGTGTGTATTGTGCGATGATGTGCGTGTGTGCTCGTTCGGGTGAGGCGATGCGAGTTTCTATTTAAGTCTAGTAAACGTAATAGTTAGGCGAAAAGCGAGAGCGTGTTGCAAACAGACGGACATGAACGGTTGATAAAAAAAAACTAATGCAGTTTTCTCTCTCACTCTCCCAAAGTCGAGGGATCAACGGCGGATTGAGGGGGGGGTTTAATGTGATATGAGTTAGGCGGCGGCCGGATTGTAGGCCCACGCCCACGCCATCGGGTGGGCTCGATTGACAACGAAACGGCTTAGCGTTCGGCGTCGGCGTGCCCCCGCTCCGTTGGGCCCCTCCTCCATTGAGGCGTCTGTAGGCGTGTGCAGTGCGGTGAACACACACACGCGCAAAGCTCCGAACGGGGAACGTTGTCAGGCCAGAGCTGCGCGTGTGTGCGTGTACGAGTGCGGCACGTTCGCTGTACATGCATACACACACGAGAGTGCCAAGTGATTAACACAATGGAACGAAACTGTGCGTGTGCGTAATGTTACTGAAGGTTTTCACGCACGCGGTACGGCGTATGTGAGTATGCGTACACGCGCATGCAGTACGACGCGTGTGTGTGTGTGTGTGTTATGAGTGCGACACGTGTCGCCCGTTTACACGCACACACGCACTGAACGGATACGCGCACGCAGTACGGGTGCGAAATTGTTCCGTTTGGGGCTGTCGTGCGTGCGTGTGTTTAATTGCGATTGTCGTGACCTTTGCGTTCTCGCGTACTTTTTGGTCTGTATTTATTTATATGTGCCATGGCCCGTGGCGGGGGCGCGGTGGCGTCGCGCGGAACGGGGAGTGTTGTTGTTGAATCCAAAATATTTCCTAAAATAAAATTTTTTATATCTGAATCCGTTGTTTCATTTGACCAGTCGCGTGTCGTCAATTTTGTGTTTTTTTCTAATGATACTAGCCTTACGCCCGCGGCTTCGCTCGCGTTGAAGCCCTTAAATAAATATCTTTCTTTAAAAAAATCCAATTAAAAATAGCCTATGTCCTTTCTCAGGGTCTAGACTATATTTGTACCAAATTTCTATTAAATCGGTTCATTAGTTTTGGCGTGAAAGCGAGACAGACAGACAGTTACTTTCGCATTTATAGAATTAGTATGGATTATAGCCAGGTCCGACGCAGTATATGCTTGCGTTACAAATTCAATTCAATCTCTTTTTGATCGTGAAGTTGGTTTAAAATTAATTTACAGTAAATATACAACATTCGATATGAAAAGCAGCCGTCTTACTCCCCAAATTCGATTCGAATTTGTTTTTGTTTGCGATTCGAACTCGCTCTTGATTTGAAGTCGATTTGAAAAGCTTACTCCCGAACCGAATCGAAACGAGAAATAAGGTCGTGCTTTATCAAATCCGTTAACTATCCGGCCTATTACGTCACAGACAAATGTTCCATTAGGTTATTTTTTTCCGAAAAATTATTCGAATTTAGTTAATTCCAATTAGAGCCACCACTCGATTGTGCGCTGGCGTCAGATTCAGTGGTACGAACTGTTATGAATTCGAGTCAAACTCGATTGATTCAGAACTCGAATCTGTCGGGAGTAGGCCTGCTGGTTGGTGAAAAAGGTGATCTAATATTTACAAGATTAAATCTATCTAAAATTACACATTAAAGGTTAAGCATAAATTCAGCGAGGAAATGCAGCTACGTTCTTGCCATGTCGCGTGGATTAGGTTTATTGGATATGTAATTTTTGAAAAATGTTCACGGAAATATTCCAAGATTGTATTGCAAGGACCGTTGACCAAATAGTAACTAGAGGGTTAAATAAAATCACAGCTTTATACAAAAGTATTTTATAAATACCCAAAAATCACATGCATCTTGAGATGCGGAAGAAATTTACAAGTTTTGGCTGGCCCGCTACAATACCGAAGTCCGTACTTGAGACTATTTCTATACATTTCTATACGTATCCCATTTTAATATAAACTTAACAATTTACGAAACTCCCCTACACTGTCAGTAACATACATGTTTCGTCATAGTGACGACAAATTTTTTTGTCCATTAACTAACATGATTTTGATTAAAACTTCATTACGATCAAATTAAATTGACTCGAACTTCGAAAGATACAGTATGGTAACACATAAAACAATCACATTGTGATATTTGAGCAAATTCGTATATATAAAACGGCAAGTAATATATTTACAAAAGCCGAAACATCCTAGGCTTAAATGCAAAATATAGTGTATTGTTTAAAAATATATCTATCAACTAGTTTTATTTTACATTGATAATAACATTTTTAATAAAATGCCTTGTCATAATTTTTTGTGCGACATTGCTCAGTATATATTTACAGTAGTAAATTTTATCTTACATTCTGGACAATGGACCCGTTGCTATTCATAATGATCAATGAATTGATAAACAAGTTAACCTTTTAAGTCTTCGACTACATTACCAATGTCCAATCTGGTGACTGTCATCTTGACGAATCACCTATCTCACGAGTTTTTATATATTAAGTGATTACACATAAATTATATGTGTATTCACAAAGTATCTATCAACCATTCTACTTTTCCTAACAAGTAAGATCACTAAAACATACTCAAATTGACTTAAAAATTCTTTCAATAGTCGAGCATAAGAAGTAACAAAGGTAACGAAATGAAATGCTATGACCATAAACATCGACTGCCTACGAGAGAGAACTCTACCGACTAAACCCAAACTAGTATTACCATAAACATCACGAGGTAGACAACTAAATGCACCTCAATAAAAAAAAGAAATCCATAAAGCATAAAGTGAACTTAAGTTCCACCACAGACCACTATTACCTCGAGACATGTCATACAGCCTTCGAGACACCTGTTCACAAAACTAAACTGCGGGTCTCATGACTAACCGCACACTTAAAATCGAATATTGCCGACGCCGAATATAGCAGTCGTAATCGGTTGCGTATAAACCTATTTAGCAGCTACGTACACGCTAGTACGCCTATCACGTCTTCTTGTACTTGAGCCTGAGGAAGCACAGGCTGATGGTGATGACTATCCAGGCGACGGTGATGAGGAAGCCGTGGTACACTCCGGGGTCCAGTATGGAAGAGCCCTTTTCCATTACGTCCCGCAACGACCTTGATGGGACCGTGAAGGGCAGCGCAAGAGCCACCGCTCTCAGGCCAGCCGACATACCTTCTAGCGGCCACAGGATACCTGTCGAGAGATCAATCGAAAAAAGTATAATATGACACTAATACGAACTAACTATAATATGACACTAAAATACGAACAAGCTAACTAACTAATAACTGCGGTAGGGCAAAGTAACAGTCTTCGCTGACGCACGAATGGGTAGGTCCATCCGGGGAAGTATCACAAACTCACAGTAGACCGGCGTGGAGTGGAAGTTTTATAATTCTGCTTTGTGCAGATGAGTGTGGTAGCCGGGGTCCACTATTATTAAAAGGCGGCTAAGCATCTGCGACCCTACGGGTGTTGCAAATGCCCATGGGCGGCGGTTATCACTTAACATCAGGTGAACCGCCAGCTCGCTTGGCACCTCACATAAAAAAACACAATTTGGACACCCTGTGGGTCACTCACCGCACAGCAGTATCATCGGGTAGAAGCTGCCGGTCGCCACGAAGAAGGACACGGTGTAGCTCGAACAGAGGACGGACAGGAGGAAGCCGTAGCACATTCCGCTGAGCCCTTGCAAGAATAGCAGCGCCCCACAGGTCAGTAGGGAGCCGCGCGACGGCAGGCTGTAGCCCGCGTACGCTAGCGCCATCATCTCCAGCGTCTGGCGCAACAGGAATGTTTTTTTGAACATTGTATAATATACTAGCGACCTGCCCCGGCTTCGCACGGGAGTAATTTATTATACACATAAACCTTTCTCTTGAATCACCCTATGTAGTAAAAAAAACCGCTTCAAGATCCGTTGCGTAGTTTTAAAGAGCTAAGCATACATAGGGACAGACAGACAGCGGGATGACTTTGTTTTATACTATGTAGTGATAGAATACACTGTAATAATACATAAAAAATGGCAACTTTCAAGTGCCATAATACGCACGTAACCGAGCAATTGTTTTAGAATAAAATAATATAAGCAGTTGATTTAAACAGGATTTAAAATATAGGTAAGCCTAGATAACAGAGATACTGTGGCACGCAACCACAGTAGCGTGGCAGGCGCGTCCAGGGATGTATACCATGGCGTCTCAGAAGACCAGCGTGTAGTGGAAGTGTTTAACTTTCCCGTTTCGTCTGGTTGAGGTAAACGGGGCGTAATATTTTAAATATTATCAACGCCAGATGCGTTGCGCAAGCCATTGGATGTATGTAGTATACGTCTATGGGCGGCTTCGATCACTTAAGGTAAAGTGACAGCCTATACATGTCCCACTGCTGGGCAAAGGTCTTGTCTATACAGAGGGTATCAGGGCATAGTCCACCACGCGGCCCCATTGGCCACGGCGGATTGGCGGACTTCACATATCTTCGAAAAATATGCAGGTTTCCTCACGATGTTTTCCTTCACCGCGGAGCACGTGATTAAGTCAGCACTTAACGTTAAAACCTTCATTGATGCCGGCACCGGGGATCGAACTCAGGTTGCTCGAGTATATTGAATTAAAGGCGAGCGTCCGGACACTGAGCTATCACGGCTCTATCGATCACTTAACATCAATCATTTGCTCGCTTTCACACCAAAAAGATGTATGTACATTATCAACGAGTAATAGAGCGTCGGCATTGGTCACTGTCAGATTTAAAGAAAGGTTTATGATTGATCACTGTCAGGTTAAAAAAGTTATAAAATGTCAAAGCTTTGAGATTGATCACTGTAAGGTTAAAAAAATTGTCAAAAAGTCGAAGCTTTGAGGTCGTCGTGGCAATCGTCACCTGCAACAGTATCACGGCCGCCTGCAGTGCGCAGTGGACGTGTAGCATTTCGCGTGCCCTCACGCCGGCCACCGCGCTGCGCTCCCACACGCCCTCTAGGCGGTCGGAGATCAGCAGGGTGGACGTGACGATCGCGGGAAGGAAGAAGATTATCCTGTGGGTTGATGGTCGTTTTCTAGTCAAAGACGTGTGCTGTCCTCGGCAAGAGGGTGATTAAGCCTTAACTATTTTTAGCGAGATAAATAGTGTTGTAAATTTCACCTGTAATATTTATTTGTAATTTCAATTAGCATCTTAATTACCTACAGTACTTGTTTGCTCATATCTAAGTATCTTATGACTATAAGTGAAGGCTTGTTATTGGCTGTTAGTCATCTAGTTTAGGGCTATTTAGATTTGTAGAGATTCAGACGAGTACAACTAGGCTGATTGGAGTATTAGTTCTTGAAGTTTCAGATTCACATTCTATTCCTGATTCAGTCTTTTAAGCACTTTCTCCTCTCTAAAACAACAACTTACTTATTCTTTTTTTGCTTTTCACTTTTTTTTTTCCCCATTTCATTATATATACAATAATATAGAATATTTGTTTTCGCTAGCACTAAACTGTCTGGTCTACAAATTAAAATTATTAACCTACAGAGACATTTGTATATTATTACCTACTTAACTTTTACTTTCAATGATATTTTTGCTTTTCATCCTACGGACTATATTAAAACTTCATCGAATGCGAAACTCATGCGCTAGACAGAACCCACTCCCGTGATAGAACCCACCGCGTTGGATAAGGCCGCATATGCTCATACGTGCGTTTTTATGGGGAGGAATGAATAGGTTTTTACAGATTGTTTTAAAAAATTCATTTCAAAACAACAATTAAGAAAAAAAACAGCTAGACATTTAATAATGAATGATAATTTAGAACTTTTTTGTTGTTGGTTTTAACAATAAAATTAGAAAAGCATGGCCCAACATTCTACCCACCGTGTAAGTTTTAATGGACTACCTATTTAAAAGTAAACGAGAAAATAGACCGATTTTTTCATTAAACTCGTTGATGTCTTTTTATAGAAAAAACGCATAAAACTTCAAATAATAGTAGTGTTAATAAAAATAGAATGTCTTTTTAGTCTGTCTTTCTAGATATTGGCATTTAGAGATGACTGATCTAACCGTTTTTTTTAAATTGTTATTTTGAAATGAAATATTGTTAATTTGAAACGAAAAATTGTTAAAATGACTAGAAAAACCTATATAATTATACATCACCTACGGGCCATTGAGATACGGTATGGCCAACGACCCTGACGGCCTTCTAGTGTGTTAATCGATGTTTGTGAAACACTCACGTGATCATAATGCCGGGGGCCATGAAGCCCACCATCTGGGAGTCCATCGAGCCGAACACCGGCTCCATGAACCGGACGGGGATCTGAAAGCACGTCATTGCACGATGTTAAAAGATCGATATTTTTTAAGCGAAATGCTGGCAAGACAAATTAGAATGAGATTAGGAAAACAGTTAAGACCATAATGCGTTATTATTATAACCCTTTACAACCGGACAGAAAAAGTTTAGATTTTTTGTAATTTGTGACATAGGTCGTATTTATAGAGGAATAAGCTACCTAGGAAAAATGCTAAAAAAAATCGGAAAAGCCAGGTTTTCCTGAAAATCGCCTGCACGATCGTGCGCTTTAGGATTACTTTGACATATGCACATTCGTGCATCTCTATGGATTTGTGTGTATATTGAGGTAATTAAACAACATTTAAGGATTAAATCATATATTTTTAGAAAAAATAAGTATTCCATAATCGGTGTTACTAATTATTAATAATGAGTATCAGAAATAGGAACATTTTGTCACAAAACATTAACTTAAACTTTTTGAGTAGTAATTAAATCACAGTAGTATTTAAACTTTGAAGTAATCATTAAATTTTAACAAAAATAGTAATTCTTTATATCTAATAACATTTTTTGAACATTTAAAAAAGTAAAATTAAAAAACAATCAGTTAGTATGAAAATCTTTGAAGCAATTTTGTCCACGAATTACACAAAGATAAACGTTACATTTTAAGCAACGAATTTTCGTGCGGCTTTTACATGTTTCTAATTGGCAAAATCTAGGCGATTTTAGATCATCGAATACGGGCAAATGTTCGTACCCATCATAACGTAGTGTTGCCGACGGCTTCAAAGCTTTTTTAAATTTCCTCGGCATTAAGTTTTCCACTTCTTCCAAGCCTTCTGTGCGACGTTTTTCAGGGGAACTCAGTAAGATTTCAGATAACTCAAGACGAAAATCTAATAAATCTAGTGTTTTATTCCGTCTGTAATTATTGGAAGTGCAATCGATTTTGTAAGCACGCCATGAGTTGACTAAAGCTAAATCATAAAAGTGAATCAACACTTTTAGTGTCCATTTCCGAGTTTTTATGAATGTTCGATAGTATTCAACCTGTTGGTCGAGAACATCCACTCCTCCCATGTATTTATTGTAATTTTGGATTATTTTTGGTGCAGTCACGTCAACATATGTGCGAGTTTTCTTATCCCATCTTTTAACCATATCTGTATAGTTTGATCCAGTGCAGTTAGAAGCTATCAAGACAGACTTATTGTCTTTCCACTTTACCAAAACTGTAGGGTCCCTCACCATCTGCTGGCTCTCACCTCGATACATTTGATTGTCTTTCTTGAATTTTAAACTAGTCTTATCTGGTATTCTATTCACCATGATAGTTCCAGTGCTGTGTAGGTTCTGCTTTTGTAATTCCTCTATTAATGGAATGGTGGTAAAATGTCTGTCGTGATATAAACAACTTCCTTCGGGAACGCTTCTTGATAAGTGCAAAACTACGGAGGGTCCAAGACCAAGATTAGTGTTCCCAAACATTGTCTTAGCTCCTTGATAAATGTCAAAGTCTAACATAAGCCCATCACTTGTTGTCAAGACATAGTTTTTGAGACCAACTGGTCGTGGTTTATTTTTAACAACTTGTCTCAATGGGCATCGACCAGTGAATGGGATCATCTGCTCATCAATAGAGTAGTATCCTGGAATCCTTTCTTGCTTGTAACAACCATTTCGAACTTGATTTATCATAGGTTGGACTTTCCACAACGGATTTGTCGCCTGTCCAGGTAGTGCAGTATCAGTAGTTACAATATGCAGTGCATTTCGCAATTGTAAGAATCGATCGCGGCTCATTCTTCTCGTTATTTTATCCAGGGAAATGCCACTACGCCAGTACATAGGCAGCCTTGGGAATGGAATACATCCCATTAAAATATGAATACCAAAAAGTTTCTGTATCTCGGACTTTGTGGTTTTTAATTCATTCCCAGTCTTTCTCAAATAATATAAATTTGTGCAAGTACTGACCATTTCATAAAACTGGTCATCAAAGTAATCTTGTACGTAATCGATTGGTTGTCTTACCGATTTAACAGCTCGTGCAGGGTACATATGCTGCTTATCTTCAAACGAAGTAACTCTCCAGCGGCGAGGGCGGGAACCCGAGCGACTCGGACGTTTAGTGGTTGGTGCTACAACAGTAGGTGCTGGTATGGACTGATCTGGTGCTGGACTGTCTTCCACCTGGTCATATCTTTGATTTTCAGCAAGATCTTCGGGCAAATCATCGTCACCTAGATTGTCGAAGACAGCAGAGCCAAAAAATGGTTCCTCGTCGCCGGAGTCATTAAAAATCTCGATATCGGAATCATTACCGTCGCCCAACACTTGTATGATCTCATCGTCATGTAAACGACCTAAAAAAAATTAAGAAAACACATAAATTACATCGTACAATAAAATAAAATAACACTGTAACTATATTAAAAAAGTATAAGGAACACCTAAAACACACGAACGTGCATCTTTTGATTTGATGCCGAATAAATCAAACAATAATTAACTCAAATACTAAAAATACGTATTAATATTATGAATTGGTTTATTACTAATTGAACTAAAAATTTTAATAATAATATTCCATTGAAAAACATGCGAAAATAATTACGTACTTGAAGCGCCGCGTCCGCCAAAATACGCCGCCATCTCCCACGAGGTACTGTGCCGCACTGACAAGCCACAACTTGTATTATTATTTTTTCTACGAAGCACTATATCATGCACGAGCGAGCGATGTCGGTTGCGTTCCGTAAAATAGGTTATGGGAAGCGCTAGAATTTTTCTAAGTTAAATGCACGCGTAACTATGAGCCGGTTGTAAAGGGTTATAAAATACTGAGGTTTGAATAAACAAATAAAAAGTTATAAGCGATAAGACGATTTTAAGAGTGAACGAATAATCTAAAAAAATACGAGTGTGCTTTAGATCACACGACTGATATAAAACTTCTTTAGCTCCATCCCTATATAATCTCCATCTATATGAATTTACAGTTTTATTCACTTTAAACGTAGAATATTTATTGAACAAAATATTTATTTATAAAATTGTTCAAGAAAGAAATGAAATTACGAAATAATCAAGTAATCACCGTTCGCGTAACATCACACTTTTCGTAACGCCGATCACACTTTTCGTAACGATCTCGTCACGTATTCACCAGCTTACTCCCCAAGTGCGTAAAGAAGTTTTACTTCAATAAAATGCGTAATTCTTTTTCAAATACTGTATCTTCTGTTTTACATTGGTGACAATTATTGTCTATTAACTAATCGACTGGAATTTCTCAGTATTTCCCATATGCAGCAGAAGCGGCTGCGGAATGCTCGGCACGTAATTCCACTGTGTATATTTCTTTTGAAATCTTGCTAGATTGTATTCAGTTAAATAGACCTAATAAATTTAAAAAAAAAATGAGTATTATAATTACCTGCACCAGATCTTCGTTCCTCCCACAGGCGATCATGGCCCTCTTTGTAAACTTCTCGTATGCCTTGTGCAGTTGCAGCTTTATGAAGTTCGAGATTTGGTAGTCTGCAACGTAGGTAATGAGGGATTTCGATCGGTGATTGTTTAGTTCTATAAAGTTTTACGTACGCTAAATTCCCTTAAATTTTTTTATTCTTACGCCCGGTTTCTGAAACACTGATCATTGCAGAAGTCAACTAACCAGATGTTAAATGGCTTTTCAAATGTTATTTGAGTTGCCAATAACCAACAAGTTATACTTCTTTGGCTTAACAAAAAAGAATAATTAAAAAAATTATCCCGTGTGCCAGTACTGTTTGTTTATGAAAAGAAAACATTAAATGCAACTGATAAATGTCAAAAAGTTGTATTTTGGTTGTTATGGCAACACCCTGAACTTGGTGTCGCGACGTAAAATTAAAAAACAAAACTCAAACACTTCCAGCCAGCAATAGTGACAGTTCGAGACAAAAAAAAAAACAGAAACAGAAAAACGAGGGAATGGAACAGAAATGACGTAGCTCACCGGCCGTATCGAGCCAGACGCTGATCGCGCTGTCGTCGAGGGTGCGGTCGTCGATGGCGCCGTCGCCGATCCGGGCGCCCAGCGCGTCGCTGAAGTTGGCCGAAAAGTGAAGGGCCGCGTACGCGGAGCGGCGGGAGACGGCGCGTTTGGCTTCCTCGCTGGTGTTGTAGGCTACCTGGAAGTCGATTCGGACCACCGTTCGGAATAGTTATCGACGCCAGGGGACAGCTAAGATGGAAGTTCTGAATCTACCAGATGACCCAATATGCACTTGCCAGTCCGCAGGTGATGTAATGTAAACTTTACATCACCTGCGGACTCCTAAGTCGGAACGAATAGCATTTGAACACGTTTCGAACTACTGTGTGACGTTGACGGAAAACTAAGAACGAGACTCTGAATCTAACAGATGATCATCATCATCATTTCAGCCTGTTATATTCCAGTGCTGAACATAAGCCTCCCCCACAGACTGCCACGAAGCAAGATCCTGATCCACCTGCATTCATCGAATTCCTGGTCACTTGCACAGGTCGTCACTCCATCTGGTGGGGGGTCGTCCAATACTACGACCTCGTACTGGCGATGGCCCGTACGAGGCTGCCCCTCGAGCATTGGTTGAAGACTAAAGTATTCAACCAATGTGTGTTGTCAGCAATGTGTGTTACAATGTAAGATGACTCATATCTCATACCAACTGCCTCCAATTATATACTACTTATTTTATAATAGGTTATCTTTTAAACATTATCTTCCTACATGAAGTAAATAAAAAGAACAGTCAGTCTTTGTTAAGTTTGAAATGCTTATAGGTTAATCTAAACTTGTCAAGCTCTAAATAAATTATCCTCTTCCGTACCTGATAGAGCTTACGTTTCTCCATCTCTTCTAGGAACCAGCAGCTCAACATATACTGATCACATGTATCGTCGTCGTGCCTTATAACCGTAACGAGGCTTTCGTTCTTGCAAATGTCCAGACCGTCTGGAAAAAGGAGTACAAAATAAAAATTACAGTTGAGTTTTTTAAAATTTACTAAAATGGATACAACCTCGAATGGCAAAATGAATTTATTAAAAATATCCTAACTTACACGATGGCACAACATTCCAACTTTAAACATCATTCTTTGAGCAAGGAGTATGCTATTATAAATAAATAATCACATTTTTCAGTCTAAATAAATAATGGGAATTCATGAAGAATTATTATATCTTCGCAAATAAACGAATATTTTATAAAGTTACATCCATTAAAATCTTTGGATGAATTTAACTTTATAAAAAAATCAAAGTTTCAAACGCAGTTTAAGATATAATAGATGATTCATCGGTCATTTCGGATTAAGGAAACCGAAATTATCCGATTGTCCCTTTCGAAAGGTCGATGTGCAATATGTACACGGAATACGATAACTTATGGAATACTGTGATAGGGCTAACTGTGCGCGTCGTCTCGTGAGTGAGGTAGCCGGGGCCCACTTTATGAAAATGTGGCAACGCAAAAAAAAAAAATTCTGCGACCCTACGGGTGTTGCAAATGTCCGTGGGCGGCGGTTATTACTTCACATCAGGTGTACCGCCGGCTCGCTTGCCGGCGGATAGAAAAAAAAAACTTCGATAGAAAAAAAAAACTATGCACCATTTTGGAACGTTTTTGCTTGCGGTCACGGGTGATTGCAGAATAATCGCAGTAGCTCAGTGTCGAGTATTCGTCATACTCACACGGTGAAGAAGCCGCTTCGTCATTCACCACGGCCACGTGCAGGTCCCTTGGGTCGCTGCCGACCGCCAGGAAGAATGCCACCGCTTGTATGATGGGGAACAGCACGGAAAATATTAAGCCGCTGGAACAATAAAAGAAATATATCCTTAATTAAACCATCTTTTGATGACCCGATTGGCGTAGCTGGTCTTGCGCCAGAGGGTGTGGGTTTGATCCCATCTACTGGAAAAATATTGTGTGATGAACATAGTGTTTTTCCAGTGTCTGGGTGTTTGTAAATGTATGATATGTATTTATTTACAAAAGAAAAGTATGTTTCTCGGTTATCTAGCACCCATAGTACAAGCGTTCCTTAGTTTGGGACTAGAGAACGTTGTGTAAAATTTTGTCATCAATATTTATTTATTCATCTTTCGGAATATGGTCCGATGCACGCGATATGTCGTGTTGTATCTTTAAGGTATGTAGGTATCGTTTTATATTTAATATATTCAAAATTTGTTCCTTACGAGGTCATTCCATGATTGTGCATCTTGTATAATGAATGAGTTTTCCGTAAATATCGTTTTGTGTGCACGGATGAAGATTGTTGAAATGGAAACGTGAAGATAAATAGGACATGGGGGATTAAACAGCACGCTTTAAATAAGAGAAAGTTTAAGGACATCCCGGCGTAATCGAATCGGTAGCCACGAGAATAAAACGGATATCTGAGACATGATCCTATTTGCATAAGCCAGACTAATATGAATCTTATTTTATATATACACATGAAGGATACATCAAATTGCTTCACAAGATTCAGATAGCAGACATACGTATGGTGGAGTATAGAAAGAAGAACTATGAGCGACAGCAATTGAATGTGTATGTGTATACATGTATGTGTTTGATTTAGTTATATATTATGTATGTTAATATTGCACCACCTACGTAGTAAACGTTCCTTTACGCCATTGGTTGCCTGGAAGAGATCGCTATGATGTGATAAGGCCGCCAAATTGTCCATTCTATTAATTTGTTTGTCTATTGTTAATTTTGTGTATCCTTTTATGTGTGGTGGACAATAAAGTATTCATTCATTCATTAATTCATTCAATTTTGGTGGTAGGAAACTAGGTAATCTTTAAGGGTACCGCTACAACCACATCATTAGTATCTTTTATGGATCACACAATATGAAAATAAACGTTGACTTTTAAGAGGTGTGCCGCCATATGCTTTTATATGTATAATTACGTATATGTGGTAGTTGGTAATCCATAAGAAGATCAATAAGATTGAGTTAACTCGATGTATAGTGCTGGAAGACACATCAATTAATCAATCAATAAATAATTGATTGCTTAAATTAAGAATGTCATATAAGAAATCGTTGCGTTTACTCAAGCACGGTATTTCGTGAATTTGTTGTTAAAAAACTTTAATTAACCGATTCAATGCGGTGGACTATTTGACAAACTTTCATGCCTGGCTACGAACAAATGTTTCGTGGCTCCTCTGGGGCGCCCAACGCCAGGCACTTTGATGGCTCCCCTAAGGCGCCTTCCGCCATGTATTGTAATGTATCGTATTTTTTTGTTGTTTCCACTTGCTGTAAGTTTAGTCGCCAACCAAAATCGAACGTAAGCGGTTTTATTGTTCGTTTAGTGTATAAAAAAGTGATTATCTACGTGTATTAATGGAAATGGAAGGTAAGTGACTCATTTATGTAAGGTGTTGTAAACCTTTTTGTAGTTTTCATTGAATTTATAAAACTATACTTATTTCTTTTCTAGTCTGTCGACAAAATTTAAATTCATGATAGATTTTTTATTTAATTACATTTATTTACATAAATTTAAAAGATTTACAATTCAGTTTACGCACTTTTTATTTTAAACAAAAAGTAGTTACAGAAAAATTCGTCGTAATGCTCACAGCAAGTTTTTTTTTTGCTTGATATAAACATATATTCTTTTTTGTTCTAGAATTACCAAAAAAAAAGAAAATATATCCCAGAATCACAACTGGAAACGCAATGTGACACTGACTACGAGTTTGTCGAACAGGCTTATTTAGAACAAAATTCCCAGACTTATGATGACTGGGAACCTGGTCAAGAAAATGAAGATGAAATAAAAAAAAAAAAAAAATAAAAAAAAAAAAAAAAAAATAAAATAAAAATAAAAATAAAAATAAAAATAAAGGAATCTCGGCCATATTCGAGGGGTTTCCATTGAACCAATCGGTAGTAGGGGCTTCCTCAGTTGTATTTTCAACGTCCTGTTCTAACTGATCTTCAGCACAAACGGCTTCTTCATCTTCTGTGTTTTCATTTACCAAATCTTCCAGAAAGTTATCCACATCCTGTGCCAAAATCCCATACAATTCTGCATCACTTATAATAGCATCAATGCATGGCATGTCTGATAAGTTTATATGGCTGGGAGACATCATTCCGGATAACTCCATAGATATGAGATCCCAATTTGACGGGCCAGGTTCAGGGGATGGAGGAGTAGCCATTTTGGTTAGCAACTGAAAAAAATAGTAGAATAAGTTATCTAGCAGTCAACACACTTTATTTTATACGTTATAAAGGTGTTGTAACACAGACGAACACACACACAAACACACACACACTCTCTCACACAGATATACATTCTCACATTCACTGTCATACACAAGCACACACACATACACACTCACACAGTGTTTGTACATGTGAGTGTGTATGAGTGTAAGTGTTTATCTGTTTCGTCGAATGTTATGTATTTAAGCGCTTATATGTGTGTATGTGGTGTTTGTGTGTCTATGTATGAGTCTGGGGGTGTTTGTCTGTTCATTTGTTTCAAGAGAAACACCTTACATAGGGTACCTATCTTTCCGCTTAACGTAGAATTTTAAGTGTTTTACCTCTTACTTAACATTGTGTAGTTAAAGACAGAATAATAAACGAACAATTTAGAAAATTTTGTATTTTTTTTAGTTCTGAACACTGGTCACGAAATGGGATTTTTTCCAAAAACCATAAAATGTTCAATAACTCAAGACTGATTTATTTTGGCATATGAGTGTTCCTACAAAAGTTGTAGCACGAGACCTGTGCTACATGCCCTATCTAGGTTTTCCTCTAACATGGAATCACTCTGTCCCTCATGTTAAATTTCAAAAAGCTCATGTTAAATTTCAATGATTGAAAAGACTAGAAAAGAAAAAAAGAACATTGTTAAAAAAACTCACCTTGTAAAGTCAAGAATCAAAACAGAGTCCAAATTACTAGCCGGGGTAGTCACTGAAGCAAAATCTCGAAGTCCAGATACACAGTCCACAGTTGTTAAAAGGCAAACTAAGAGACTTCAGAAGCGAGCATTAAACGGTCACAACGTGCTTACGTCTGATCACCATAAATAGCAAAACAGAAGTAAACGAAAAAACATCATCGATAGTTAAGTAATTTGCGCGTGAGGCATCTTTGATATGACTGCATAGCATAACAACAAAAGATAGTGCTTTTCTGAGAATCGTTTTTGTTGTTGTTTCTCACCAAAAATAAACTAAGTACATTGTCTTGATACCTAAGGAATGCAATTACTAGTCCGGTTAAATTTGGACATACTTCGAGAAACTACCTAGTTATTACCATAAACTTGCAAAAGAGCATATCCACAAAGCAAAAAAAGTGAAAACAGATATTTTTTTAAATATTTAACTGTCATGATTAGTGCTATTCGTTTGTAACCCTTAATATTAAATAACATTTAAATAACGCTTAAAATGGTTTACCATCCCCGAAGAGTGTGAAATCACGCTACACCTTAAAGCGATTTCTCTGGAAAGGATCTACGTGATAAATAAAGACACTAATATTTTTAGAACACTGAAATATGTACTATTGATAAATTTAAATTAGTCAGTTTTTTGGTTTCAAATATTGGCTCCTCTGGGGTGCCACCCGCCATGCACAAAAGTTACCTTTCATAATTATTGTTTCTATTGAAAAGGTTTACAACATCTGAAATGTCTTTTTTCACGCTATATCTTGAAACTAATACTAGTATCGTAATCTACGTGACAAATAAGGAAACTTTCATTTAGGGCTAGCCTCTGAATAAAGCTTTTTTAGCGGAGTTTTACAGGAAAACATTTTGGCTCCTCTCGGGCGCCACCCGCCATACACAAAAGATACACATGGCGCCTCTGCGGAGCCATCCGCATTGAATCGGTTAAGAGTAACGGAGATTTAAGGATTGCGAGCATTATATAATTTTATTCATGAATAAATCAGCAGGGCATGAACAATGGACATGCGTCACAACAAAGAAAGAAGAGCTTTCGCTAATGAAGATGGACGTTCGTTTAACATGCAAGTAATGTCTATGTTAATGAAGCAATGTGATTTAAGCTATAATGTTGTTGTCCCTTATTTGATTGGTCCCTTTATGATTTCAATGAAAATAGCAACGACGTTGAGGGAAATAATAAGAAAACAGTTATCAACATTTGAAGTAACATGTCGTTTTTTTGAAGTAACTACAATGATTATTGTTTTGTATGACTGCGCGGCGTTTAAAAATTGTTCCGCTTTACATTATATGACATATTATATAGTTGAATGTGACAGATGACATGGAACGTATAATAGAAAGAGATATTAGTATATAGAATAGCAATCTAATTACACCAATTGGCATAAGATTTAGTGCGCTAGTGTCATGTCATATCTACTACGTATTGGTATATAATATCATTGTGTTAATAATACAGATTACTATTGTTTATCGTTCATATGGTTTTGATCGAAGTACTGGCTGAAAATAGCGATTGACGTGGGTCAGGAAGTATTCTAGCCATGCCCGCGTGTTTAAGGCGTTCCAGTCCAGGCACGTCTACTACCAAATCGGTTGGCGGGAAACTCGGTTTGTTTATGGCGCGATTAGTTCAACTCGTAGAATAACTAAGTCTACCTAGCCGATACGCAATAGTTATCGTCATGTATAACAATTAATATTTCGATAAATTTGAAATTAAGATTTTTTTTAAAGAACATTTATCAATTCATAACGTGTTGTATGAATGTATACATAGCAGTGGACAAACATCCAGATGCATAACAATTATCCGTGGCGTACTAATAGTTTTCGCGTGTAGGAATCGAACCCACTACTCGACTCCGTTACCAGTATTTTGGTAGCTGTACGACGGGGTAACTAAAATTTTTATTTAGTACTATTAAGTTAAGAAATTCTCGACACTTTAAAGCCAGCCTGAAAGGAATGCTTCTCTATTAATTATATTTACTGCCTATTTATTTTGTACGAGTGAGTTTTATTTTAAGACATGTTAAAGATGATGACAATGGTAAAGTTGAATAATGAAAAAAGATGTCCTACCAAAGAATCGATAGTTCTAAGAGTTATGTGTCCAACGTTTGGGTAATGATAGAGGCGCGTGTGCCCCGTGAGCGGAGCCTCGGTACAATCTTTGAGCGTTTAATCAAGTCTGGTCATAAAACACAAATGAATTATTTATTAGCATGTTCTCTCGACCACACGCAATTTTTTGCATGTGAGATTAGAAAAAAATCATCAGTACACAATGAATATTGATGTACACAACTTATTTCGCTCGATCTTATATCGCAGCTATTCAGTTATTTTTATGCGTCACGAAACAGAAATACGTGACGTGACGCGTTAATTAATGATTAATAAAACGACAGACTTATGTTCCACGCATACATTTTGAAAAGGCTTTACAAATGAAATATATAACTTAGTATTTACCTCCATTTCAATGTTGTGAAACAAATATGTGACTGACAGTATTAAATTCTGTGTGTAATCTGAGAAGAGGGAATGTATCCTCTTGGAAAAATTTGTAGGCATTTGTATAGGCTTATTCATATATACTTGAATACTAGAAGGACAAACTTGTGCACCTAGTTTTGTTCAGAACAATACTATAATAACAATATAATTAGAACTATATATAATTAGAATTAAAAATAATGTTGATAAACAAACATATCCTGTGAACAAATTTAATGTTCGTAGGTGACAAATTTTTGGTTCCGCAGATTTTATTTTTATGGTGTGGTATCGTCATTGTTTGTCCTATAATATGAAGGTTCACTCACCCAGGATGCCTCGAAAATTGCTGGATGCTCTTGATTAAGACTGCCTTGTACCTCGCCTTTGATTTACTCCGGCAGTCCGATATCTTCTCTTTGGTGTTAAGCATCTGGAATTGTTTATTTTCATCTAAGTATACCTCAGATATTTGCTTTAGCTTGTATGTATTTCATAAAAGTAGCTGCTGACGTGATGGCAATATTTACCCGGACAATTATTAAACATCTTTTAACTCGAAAGCACGTGTATGTGTGAAATAGATGGAGAATTTCATTATTTTCCTGAATGGAAACTTTTTAATCTATTGCGTATGTGCATAGTAATATCATAAAATACAGCGGAAACGTGCGATTTTCCAGAGGTATAATATAATTTAAATTTATTTAAAAAGTTAGTTTAAATACATTTACATATGACCTTGTCAGCTCTATATAAGACTTATTTTTGAAAATAATAGCAGTGATATGTTTGCATGGTTTAGTGAATTTGTTATGAGTCGGTGATTTCTTGAAAGCATCCAGTAATAACAATAACAAGAATAAATCCTTTGTTTATAACCTAATAAAGTAGTATAAATTAAACACGAAGTAAAAAGTGCTTCACAATTGTACCTTTGTTATAATATACTGACTAACTCGTAAACTGCTGACTTTCAAATTAATATTTTTACTGATTATAAAAACTTTTTTTAGATTGCTAAACGAAAAGAGGACTGCCAAAAAAATAACGATCAGAAAACAAATGAATACATCCGCAAAAAGAAAATTTTCGGACACTTTGCCGATGCAGGCCGAACAAATTGTGGCATTAGTGCGAGAATGCTTGTAATGAAAGATTGCTATAAAATTCAAAATTAAAGTAATCTATGGTTTATTGAGTAAACAGGAGTTTGGTAGGTTTGTGAAGACACGTTCTTATAATTTTAAAGACGTGATACTAGTAGAAGTCGAGTAATTACTCGTGATGATCGATGTTTATTAAACGTCAATTAACATTAAACATAACATTATTATTACGTGCTCAGGGGTGAAGGAAAACATCGTGAGGAAACCTGCATATTTTCAAAATAATAATAAAATTAAAAAAAAAAAATATTTTGAAGATATGTGAAGTCCGCCAATCCGCAGGGGGGCCGCGTGGTGGACTATGCCCTGATTTCCTCTGTACAGAGGAGGCCTTTGCCCAGCAGTGGGACATGTATAGGCTGTTACTTTACTTTACTGCTTTAACATTAAACAAGAGCTAAATGAAGTGCGCTGTGTAACTGCAGTGTACAAACAAGAAGGAAGAATGCCCGCTTACGATTTCGATAACGCTAACGCTTCAATTGGTCTGAATAGCATTTTTAATGTCGGGCGTCCGTGTTCGCCGATGAGTGTGGGACATATTAATTTAGTGCAGTTGTGTGAAGAGTTTATCGTCGACGCGGAGAACGATATGCTCAAAGTTGCATTGAGGGGTGAGTTCTTTTTGGAGGATCCTGTATGTTTAAGGTTGCCTCGGAACGGACGGAAATTCCTTTCAACGACATTGTCCGTCAAAATAGCGATACCAGAGAAATTGATGCCCATTTGGTACACTTACATCGGATTCGTAGGCGAAAATTTTATTCTTTTTCTTTCATTGCTGCGTAAGATCTACAACACATCGGAGATGTTTTGATTGGCCAGCTCGTAGACCTCACATTTACCCACGGAAAGTTTAAAAAGCTATCATTTAAGGAATTCTGTCCCGAAAACGGTAGCGGTATAAAAACAAGACTGACTCAAGAATGGGACAATATTCCAAAAGATCGTTTAAACACCCTTATCAGGTCGATGCGAAGGCGATTTTAATCAGTAGTACGGATACGTGGAGAACACAGTCTATAGAATTGCACTAAAATTACACCAATTGGTGTAACTTTAGTGTTTGTGGTTTCAGCACGTTAGTGTCATATCTACCACTTATTTGTATACAGTATTTATTGTACCCACGTGATAGATACTACGCAGTTTTTAAAGATGACAAATCAGTTTATAGTTTTTAATTTGAATTGGTGCAAAACAAGAAAAATTTTTTACTAACGAAAAACAAAACAGACTTCAAATATATCGCTCTGTATTCATTTTATAATTGATTTTCACGAGTTCCCTACGTATCTCCGGAGGCCAAGATCCAATACAAATGAAATTCATATGGGACCACATTGGAAGCACCAGCTTTCAAATAAAAAAAGAATCATCAAAATCGGTCAAAAGTTCTGAGGTAACAAACATAAAAAAAAATACAGTCGAATCGAGAACCTCCTCCGTTTTAAAGTCGGTTGATAATTGCGTACTCGGTAAACATATTTATTTAAAAGTTAGCATGAGCACATGCGCGGCCCTACCCACAGCGGAGGGCCCAAACCCGTGGGTTCTGGCTAGCCCGCCGGTTCTGCGTCAGATGAAGCTTTAATAGTCTCGGGACTGAAAGCAAAAACATCACTTAATACAAGATACAAGATATTTAAAAGTCGTTTGTACTTCGATGCAGTTTATGCGTCTGCCAGTGTTGATACTCACGTCAGTGCTACTGTTGACTATGTTGAAGTCCTCGCGGGAGTGGTACCGGCTGTCCGCGACGGTCACGCCCTCTGGGATCACGTCCGGTGACGAAGTCAGCGCTGGAAGGTGACGCGTTAATCTTGTCGTCTATGTTAACGTTATCAGGATTGTCGTGGAGTTGGTATATAAAGTTCGGAAGCCGTACTGGGTAAGTTTTTGTATGTTTTTTTTATTTTTTGTTTAAAGATGCGTAAGCCATACTCGTAGGCTTCTATAAATTTACTAGCGGATGCAGACGTTGTCCTGTACACACTACTTAAATTCGACAATTTAGAAATAAAACAAAATTAAAAAAATGTAGTGGACCGAATTGTGAATCAAAACCATTCTCGAATCGACCTGAAGACACAAAAAATTTCATTAAAATCGGTCCAGCCGTTTAGGAGTGCAGACATACTACACGTACACACCGCCATTATGGGATAATATGATCCTGAATCGTTTTGGCTTATATAAAATGCAAATAATACATCGTTAACTTCTAACTAAGGGGCATTTATTTTATTTTATTGAAAGAAAAGATCTTAACCAATAAAGGTTACGATAATAAATATGGTTTACAAAAGTGTGTGTCACGAAAAACAAGTCACGAGTACAAATTTAATGTATACACGTCTGTCATTATTACTCGTAAATATACTTTTATGTTCTTCGTTTAACATTATGGGATAAATCGGATGATGAGACATTTTTGAGGCTCATTCAAGTGGGGATAAAAATGATCCAGGAAACTACAGACCTATCTCCATATTGCCATCTCTGAGTAAAATTTTTGAAAAACTAATTTTAAATCAGCTCTTAGTACATTTTAATATGAACAAAATTTTTCACAATGAGCAATATGGATTCACTAAAGGCAGATCGACAACAGATGCGGGTATCGCACTTGTCAAACATATTTATAACGCCTGGGAAGGGTCGCAAGATGCAATAGGTGTTTTTTTGCGACCTTTCAAAAGCTTTCGACTGCGTGGATCACAAAACCCTCCTTCTAAAGCTTGATTATTATGGCATTAGTGACATCGCCCTCAATCTCATTGCTTCTTACCTTAATAATAGAATTCAAAAAGTATCTATAAATGATGTAAATTCCGCAGGGTCCCCCATGAAAATGGGTGTCTCACAAGGATCGATCTTTGGCCCATTACTATTCTTAGTATATATAAATGATCTCCCCTTTTATGCCAGTGAGTTATGTGATGTTGTACTGTTTGCTGACGACACATCGCTTATTTTTAAGGTTGACCGAAATGTATCGAATTATGACGACGTGAATAGTGCACTTTCACGTATCCTCCACTGGTTTACCATTAATAATATGGTGTTAAATGCTAAAAAAACTAAATGCCTTTTTTTTGCCCTTCCCAACGTAAGAAGGCAAAGTTTTAGCTTAAAATTGAATAGCGTAACCCTTAATCCTGTTGAGTCCGCTGTATTCTTGGGAATCACAGTAGATTCAAAGCTCCAATGGAGTCCCCATCTATCATCTCTTGCGAATAGGTTAAGCTCCGCTGTTTTTGCAATTAGGAAGGTTAGGCAGCTATCAGACATCGACACTGCCAGACTTGTTTACTACAGTTATTTTCACAGCATCTTGTCGTACGGCATTTTGTTGTGGGGTAGTGCATCTGATATAAATTCAATATTTATTATTCAAAAAAGAGCTGTCCCAGAAATGTATAACATCGGAGCCCGGAATACACTCAGAGATCTTTTTAAAGAGATTAATGTACTCACTGTTGCGTCTCAATATATTTATTGTAATATTTTGTATGTTAAACAGAATATTAATAATTATCAAAAGAATAGTGACAGACATAAACTAAATACTAGAAATAAGGACAAACTAACTACGCCATTATTTCGCCTACAAAAAGTAAACAGATCGTTCATGGGGCAAAGTGTGCGCATGTATAATAAAATCCCACAGTCGATGTTAAGTCTGCCACTTGATGAATTTAAACGAAAAATTAAAAGTACACTTATGGCTAAAGCCTATTATACTATTGCCGAATATCTTGACGACGCCAATGTGTGGGGTTAATACTGTTGATACTCACGTAGGCTAAAACAAGACTATTGTACCTGTACTATTATATTGTAAACTGATTTTTTAAAAAAGAGCAACTGTTGAGTTTCTTGCCGGTTTCTTCTCAACAGAAACTGCTTTCCGAACCGGTGGTATCTTACGAACGTGTTAATTTCTTGTAAAATTTTGACGTTTCATAAGAACGCGCAAGCGTCTATGTGAATAAAGATATTTTATTATTATTATTATTATCATAGAGCTATTCTTCGGAGGAGCTAAGTTTAAAAGTTTGTAAAAACATATACGATCCTTCTATCGTTTATACATAAATTTTTGATACATCTTCCAATTTGGCAACTTGTTACGCCTTCACAAACTTTTATGCGTCTAGATTGAAAAAAAAGGGTGTATTAGAGTCATGTTTTGATGTTGAATAATTATTATAAAAATAAACAGAAATAACCATTATTTTATGCTTATATTATGTATCCCTTACCATGGTATAATGAGGCTTTAATGATAATGTTATGTCTATAAGAGGACGCATAGGTTATGAAGAAAATTGACGCTCTATGCTTACTAAGCGTCTTATTCGTAAAGGGTTAGTTTTAGCTCTAGGTGCGAAATGTGGGGTTCTAGGATCGTAGTAAGGGCGCATTTCACTTACTAGACCTCCTTCTATTTGAGACCTCGTGTTGCCGGAGCGCCATTTTGAGGAAGGCGTCTTCCAAAGTATCACAGTCGTATTTACGCAGGATCTCGCGCGGTGAATCTTCGGCCAGCAATTGCCCGTCTCGAAGGAGCCCGATCTGATGGAGAAAATTAATGAAAGAACAAAATTCAACCGACTCCGGGTTTACTAAACGAAACTATGAAAGCGTACAAAAAATTCAACCGACTACGGGTTTACTAAATGAAACTATGAAAGCATACTCTTTCCTAAAAGGCCGGCAACGCATTTGTAATCCCTCGGGTGTTGCTGGTGTTCATTGGTGGCGGTGATCACTTACCATCAGGTGAGCCTCCTGCTCGTTTGTCCCTTTTCTCCATAAAATAAAAACTATGTTTTCTATGTTTGTAAACTTTGACGACCCGAATGGCGTAGTGGCTAGTGTACCTGCCTTTTGCGCCAAAGTGTGTGGGCTCGATGCCCCCCACTAGAAAAATATTGTGTGATGAACATGTTGTTTTTATAGTGTCATGGTGTTTATATATGTATAATATGTATTTATTTACAAAAGAAAAGTATGTTTAAGTATGTCGGTTATCCAGTAGCCATAGTACAAGCATTGCTTAGTTTGGGACGAGAGAACGTCGTGTAAAATTGTGTCCTAAAAATATTTCTAAACTATGTTTATTTTGAGTTTTGACAGCGTTCATGGTCAAGGGATAGGGATAAACATAGTTCATTTATTAATGTGTAATCGCGTACATACAAGAAATTATTACGACTACGGGTTTATTTCTGGAGACTGGCAAATGAGTATGCAGTTCGCCTCGTGGTAAGCGGGGGGCGCTAAGGATATAGAAGGCCAGCAAGACAGATGCGATAGCTCAGTGCCGGAGCGCTCGCTATTAATTCAACATAATCGAGTACCTGATTTCGAATCCCGGTACCGGTACCAATGAAACTGTTTATTTTAAACGTTGGATATTTAAAGTGACAGCGTGCTCGAGGGTCAAGGATAACATGGTTAGGTAACTTGCATATTTTCGAAAGAATAATGAAATAGCAGATATGTGAAGTCTACCAAACCGCAGTGGAGTTGTGTGGTGTCCACCACGTATGCTCTAAGAATCACTATGTACGGAGGAGGGCTTTTGCCAACAGTGGGACATATAATTATAGGCCGTTGCTTTACTTTTTTTTTGCAACCATTGAGAGGTTGAGCCGGTTGGCTATTGATATAATAGCCAGAAGAAACGCAGTACGATTAAAACAAATGAAAACCATCAAACCGCAATGGCGTCACAAGGCCGTACTGCGCTTTGATGCCTTTGCCGGGTAGTGTTTTAAAATTCATGCTTTACGATAAAATTTTGACGTTTTCTACAGTAATTTCCGTTCCGTACTGCAAGTAAGACCGTTTAAAAAAGTGAAACAAATATGTTACCCAGCCCAATACGAGACGTGGGACGGAAAACTTAACGATGACATGACATCAATTCAGATCATTTGTATTTCATTGGTAATACGCCACACATTTTCTTTAGTAGTATATCTTTAAACTTGAACCTGATAATACGTTATACATTACGCGAACAATATAGGAAACCCAAAGACCTGTTCCATTGCTAGTAGTAGTAGTAGTAATTGGCCAGGTCTTTCTCGATTACGGATAAATTAAATTGTAATAAACTAGCTGATACCCTTCATCGGCGTTGCATAATTTAACCACAACACTTCTTCGCCCACTTCTACACGTAAAGATTTCAGTATGAAACACTTTACAAAGAACATTTGTAAAGAGAGATTTCTTCAAAAGTTACATTAAATGAAGATATCATAGTATATTTTTTAGATAATTGCCAAGTGTCTTAATATAAAACTTAGAAAAATTTGTGATTTCCGCACAACGGCAGACCTCTATCATTTCTTTTAAATATAAATATTCTTTGTTGGGTTTTTTTGAAATTATATATGCTCTTACAATTTTAATCCTAATTATGTCAATTTTATACAACAATGGGTGGGCTGTACTTAATCTGCTATGAGTATGTAAATCATTAATTAAAAAGGATTCGAGGAAGGTTCTTGGGCATAGGCCTCCCCTGTCCAAAGAAGACTATTAGGGTTTCCATCATGCGATCCCATCGCAATGACAGACTTCACACCTTTGAAATAATGGATGCGATTTTTACAGCGACATTAAATTAACGTAGACGGTGACATGCAGTCAATCTATAAATCTCCCGTTAGTAATCTGTCAAACATTAATATGTTAGAAACCTGTTTTGTTAAAAAGTTTCTGACTCATCACCCTGATGAAGGACCTCCGATGACTCCGAAACTATGCGGTACATACACCGGGTTTACATGAGTTCAGCCAGCCATCTTATTATTACGTTAGTCAAATTTTATTAATGAGTGGCAATCAACTACGCTAATTAACTATATAAAAACGTAAACCCGTTACGTGAGTTCATCCGTCTTATTATTACCTTAATAATGTCTCACGGAAGTTTTAATAATTTTATAAGATTTAACTAGTTGATTGGGACTTATTAACAAGATTTAAGTACTTAAAATAATCTGCATTACATTGCTTTTGATTTACATTATTTAATTGGCGGACCTCAGAGGCTTCTGTCCAGTAATAGGACATTCAATGTACATGTAACATTACTAATAAGTGTGATTTAACAATCCAATATAAAAATTGCGAGTTATGCTTCGAACGAACCGAATTAGACCTCTTCAGAGCCTGAACCGATCAACTTGCGTATTGAACGAGTAAATAATAACTCAATATTAACTCACCTTGTGCGCTTGTTTCGTTTCGTCGATGTAATGCGTCGTGATGATGACGGTCGTCCCGCCCCTGGCCAGCTCGGCAAGGAAGTCCCAGATCCTGGAATTAAGGTGATTCTTAATCGAATGTTTCAATCGTCTATTATTATTTCAATCGTCTTATTAGTTTTAATCGTCTATTATTATCTAGTTTAAATCGTCTACGTCTATTTCAACATTTTATAAATTTCGATATTCTTTCTTCTGCCCTGATCCCACACTAGGTTCGGTTGGCACAACATGTCTTTTCCTTCTACTGTCCTCTATCAGCCGTCATCTCTATAGTCACTCCTTCACAGACATATCATTCTTCACACATTCTTTACTTGCACTTTTTTTTTTTACGTGTGCAAAATCCTTTATGGATCCCCCGCCGCCTTGTGGGTAGGGATCAGGGGTATGTGAGAGTTACAGGGTACCCACTAAAAACCCACGTTGCACCTGCGCTGTCGCTTTGCCGGGGACACGGGAACACGAAAACGCAATCTTCCGCGAACGCCGGCACGACTGTGGCTTTCTCAGGCCTCCTCTCCCCGGGTGCTTAGACACCCGGTCCAGCCAAATGGTGCCGTGTCGGTGCAATGAGCACGGCACCCCTCTCTAGCCCTCCGCGGGGCAGCAGTTAGTCCCACATCTGCCACCCCGGGGCTTGCTATCAGCGGGGAAGATTGCGCGCGTAGGCCAGCCTCCTGCGCCGCGGTCTCCGGCGGCGGATTTCAAGGGTGGATTCTTTACTTGCTCTAGTTTAACACCCTCCAACTACATTCGTATTCATCACTCTTCTAGTTACATTTTATTAATTTCATACACACTTTCGATACGTGTAGATCATGCAGCGACAATACCTGGGGTAGCAGCTAATGGCAGAAATAAAACCATAACACACGACTCCGAAATGGTGTCACTAAAAATAGGTACAGTTTATAATACACGTCACATCTTTCTCTGCTGCTCATCCGGGGAGCGCCACGACCTCACAGAAGAACAATATGAAGTGGAGGTGTTACACTTATACGTTTCGTCTGGTGAGCGAAGTAATCGGGGCGAATCGTTTTTAAAGCTTGGCAATGCATCTGCAATATTTCAGACGTTGTATCTACAACACCTGAGGGATTGCAATTGGACATTAACCCTTATCATCAGCCTTTGCTGGTCCACTGCTGGAGGTAGACATGTCACAGAGACCGCCATATGAAACGATCTGTGACATAAGTTTCCAGTTACTACCAGTCAACTCCAACTGGTGCGAGGTCATTCTACGACTACGCATGCCTAAACGCTGTCAGTTCTGCGAGCAATGCGACTATCTCATCGGCATTTCGACTTACTTGCCCTGAGAGTTTTATCGATAGCCTTCGTTGTCTGTCGGATTATCTCATCTATGAATGGGCGCCGGTAATCACTTTACATCAGTTAAACTATCTCCTCGTTTGCCAACTTCTCACATATAAAAAAGGGTTGTCAAGCTGTCACGATAAATATGTTAATGATAAGAGGGTCACGCAACAGTTTCTGTTGTTAAATTGGTTGAATAGGCAGCCTCGAGGGAACGTCAAGGCCTCAGAAAACCCTGTGAAGTGGTAGTATTGATATTGTTGTTTTTTTATCTGACGAGCGAGGTTATTTCTATTGGTACAATACCAGCGACCCCACTGTTGCTGTATATCCAAAAATCACCTCGCGACAGGGAAGCTTGCTCTTTTGAAGCCAAAAGAGATAGAGACACTGTGCCAGTCCAACAGTGCTGTGACTGTCCAAAAGAGTGAAATAGCAATATATGTATTCTCTTATTGTATATTGCTTATTAGATTGTGTTTAGATTCTGTAATTTCGTCTTGAGATCTGATGATTGTGATTGTTCTTCTATTGAAAAAATCGGCAAAACTAAGTACTTGGGGGTGATGGTTGATCAAAGACTATCCTGGCATCCGCATCTTGATCAAGTCACTATCAGAGTAAGGAAATTGATCTGGATATTCAAGTCCTTAAGACATGTGATGCCTATGCTGATGAGAATGTGATCGAGCAGAACTCCCGTAGGAATATTCTTAAAGAAATTTATACTGCGCTGGCACAATCTATCTTAACTAACTGCATCCCGATCTGGGGTGGAGCGTGCAAAACCAAGATGTTAGAAGTGGAACGTGCACAACGCGCTCTTCTAAAGGTAATGCACTTTAAACAGAGAAGATTTCCAACGGATAGATTATACTCCATCAGTAATGTCCTATCAGTGAGAAAACTTTACATTCTCCTCACTGTCTAGAGGAAACATAAATCAATAATAAACCTTCGATAATAGTATAAAACAAAATAAGAGAAAAGACTCATTACTGTTCTAAAGGTAACAAAAACAGCATTTGCTAGAAATCCATATATACATCGCTCAGGATTTCTATACAATAAAATAAACGAAAAGCTTGACATCTACAGCAAAACACTTAAGAACTGTAAGCTAATATTGACTAATTTTCTTTTGCCTTTAAATTATGAGGAGACAAAGTCATTATTGCAACTAAATAAATAAACAGTCATTCACACCCCATCAAAACACTATTTATCTACAATGTACATGCTGATACAATACATTGACTTACAGTTATATATGTAAAATATGCTCTTTTTATTTCGTTTACATTTTACTTTATATTTTTATTATTATTAACTTTTTTTAATTTTTTATTTTCTTGTGAGTTGTAAATTATATAATCAGCTATGGAAGAGCGAAGTCACCTGTCACAGGCATTTTATGCTTACTAGGTGACTTCGATCACTGAATTTGATAAATGTTAACAAATATTTAACGTAATAAATATTATTATTATTATTATGATATAGATTTTTTTTCTCGACTCGGTGTCGGTTTCTTTTCTTTGGTCCAGGATACGGGCATACGCCAAGTATCCTGGTACCATTGTGTTTTATGTTTGTGAATATTGCTGGGTGTTTGTGTGATTGTCATCTTGGCTACTGTGTACTGTGTGTGGTTGGGAGGTTGGGTTTAAGAATCGGCGTACTATGGAACATGTGTCTAAAACAATTGATTTTTGGAGGGGTATATAAGTGTTATCATGTAGGTCTAAGATTCTAAGCGCTGTTTTAAGTGCTTTTGGAATGACACCGGTTGCTGAAATAATGATGGGGATGATTTTGACTACTTCTTGGTGCCACATCTGTTTAATTTCGTCTGCTAAAGGTATGTATTTTTGTATTTTTTCTGTATGTTTCTGTTTAAGATTCTGTGTGTTGGGAACGGCGATGCCTATAAGGTAAGTGGTTTTAGTTAATTTTTGGATGAGTGTAATGTCGAGTCTATTGCTAAGGATGGTACGGTCAGTTATTATGTCTCGGTCCCAGTAGAGTTTCGTTGTGCTATTTTCAAGTATATTCTTTGGTTTATACTGATAGTATAAACCAAAGCATAGGGGGTGTAAGTTGTCAGAAGTTTGTATTTTAGTGCAAGCTGTTGGTGTATGTGTTTGGCGACGTTGTTGTGGTGGTGAGTATATTCTTTTTGGGCAAGAAAACCGCATCCTCCAGTGATACGATCTATTGTTTCGGTGGTTTGGTAGCATAATCTACATTTGTCAGTTTCTATTGTTTCTTTGAGGATATATTTAGTATAGTTTCGGGTTTTGATAATTTGGTCCTGTATAGCTATTAGAAAAACTCTGGTTTCACCAAAAACATTGCCTTTTGTGAGCCATGTGCAGGATGCCTTTCGATCTATGTGATCTTGTGCTAGTTGGTGTGGGTAGTTGCCATGTAGTGCTTAACTCTTCCAGTTCTCGATTTTTTGTTCTTCGGTATGAATTTTTTGTTTCAGATCATATTGTCTGTTATTAAGCTGAAGAGGTTTACCAGGTTTGGGCAGGTCAGTAATTGCTCTGTGTAGTGGGCTATCGCTAGACTTTGTGAGGAAATATGATCGTAAATTGTCTATTTGTGTATAGTGTAAATTCTTTATGTCTATGAATGCGCGCCCTCCAAGTTCTCTGTTTAGAGTGAATCTTTGTACTGATGAGTGTATGTTCGTGTTGTGGTGTTTAGAGCTTCTAGTTCAGTGTCTGACCATTTAACAATTCCAAAAGAATATGTTAGTATTGGGATGGCGTATGTGTTAACGGCTTTAGTTTTGTTTTTTGCTGATAGTTGGGTTTTTAGTATTTTGTTTTATTATTATATATATATTATTATTATGGGGGGGATATTCATTTGTTTTCTCGTCTAGTTGGGTTTATAAATAAAAATAAAAATAAAAATAAAGATATAGATATATATTGCATATATAAAATAAATATTATGGAAAAAAATAAACACACACACACACATATATATATATATTCATATATAAGTAGGACCCAACCAGACGGAAGCCCTCGGCAGGGGAGAAAAAGGGTTAGGGCGAAAGGGAGAGGAACCGGCGGACGATGCGGGCGGTATCGAGGAGCACCGCCTTCTGCATTTGAGCCTGGAGCGATCCGTCCCGGAGTCCCAGTCTATATATATATATATATATATATATATATATATATATAAATATTTTATATAATACATATATAAGTAGGACCCAACCAGACGGAAGCCCTCGGCAGGGGAGACCAAACGGCCGAGGGTTAGGGCGAAAGGGAGAGGAACCGGCGGACGATGCGGGCGGTATCGAGGAGCACCGCCTTCTGCATTTGAGCCTGGAGCGATCCGTCCCGGAGTCCCAGTCGCCTCAGATGTTTAGAGAGGCTGACTGGGATCAACCCATTCGCAGACACGACTATCGGGATAATTTCGGTCGGCACACCACCCCACATGTCGGTCACCTCGTGAGCCAGGTCCAGATACTTCGTCTTCTTATCTGTTTCGGCTTTCACGAGGTTCTCGTGATATGGAATGGTAATGTTGACCAAAAATACCCGCGACTGTGCCCGGTCCATCAACACGATATCAGGTTTGTTCGCGACTGTGCCCGGTCCATCAATACGATATCAGGTTTGTTTATTATTATTATTATTATGTTTTGACAAAACACAATCTATTAATAATAATAAGCTATTAGATTGTGTTTTG